TTAGGCAGAGATCTGAGCCCACTTTTTTGCATGTAGCCATCCAGTTTTGCCAGCACAATTTGTTAAAGAGGCTTTCCTTGCTCCACTTCACTTTTCTTGCCCCCTTATCAAAGATTAGATGGTCGCATGCTTGGGGGGAGATGTCAGTATATTCAACCCTGTTCCATTGGTCTACAGTTCTGCCTTTGTTCCAGTACTATGCTGTTTTAATTATTACTGCTTTGTAGTAGAGTTTGAAGTTAGGGAAGTTGATTCCTCCCATTTTCTTTTTACCAAGAATTGCTTTAGCTATTTGGCTACCACAGTTCTTAATGGAACAAGCTGGCCCATGTTTCTGCCCTGCATTGACTGGCCGTGAGTCTTCCACTTTAATGAGGCAGGAGCAATTACTGGTGCCTTTAAACCTGCTTAGTACAGTGGCTGGCAGGGGTGCTGGGCAGTAACATCAATAATAAAGAGGCAAATGGCTTCAATTATTTTTGTGTTGTTCTCTGCAAGAAAGGTCATTGAAGTGAGACTTAGAGCTCTGAAGTGGGATGAATTAAAATCTCCCATAGTTAAGAGATGCTTTTTGAAGTTCTTGTGAATTACTAGAAAGTTAAAAACTATATGGTTATAAGCAGAGCATTATGATGCAAATAAAAGCAAGATTAATTATGGTATTATCTAATTTATATATACCATTTATATCTACAATCATTGTTATTATGGTATTAAAAAGTTTTATATGATAAATTTTGTGTTATTTTTAAAAACTACTTCTTTTTTAAATTTTTTGGTTTTAGGCCACAAGTGGTTGAGTTCAAGGCTGAGCACAGTCTCTGTACTCAGGAATCACTCCTGGGGTGAGGCTTGGGGGACATATGGGATGCCTAGGATTGAATCCAGGTCTTCCACAGGCAAAGCCAGCATCCTGTCTGCTGTCCTATTGCTCTGGTCCCCATAAACTACTCACTTTTAAGTGGCCTGGCATTCCAAGCATTTTTCTTTTCTCTCTTTCTTTAGTACTATTATTTTTTTGTGTGGGAGGGTGCCACATCCAGTGATGCTCAGAGAATATTCTTGGCTCTGCACTCAGGAATCACTTTTGGCCATGCTCACAGGACCATATGGGATGCCGGGGATCAAACCCGAGTCGACCATGTGCGAGGCAAACACCCTCCCTGCTGTACTATCACTCCAGCCCCTCCAGGATTTTTCAACAGTTGCCAACAGTTATATGCTTATCACATGATTGACTGTCAATATGTTCCTTGGAAAAAGAACTCAGATCCTTGAGCTAAGTGTTCATCATTGTCACTTAGACTGTTTTAACTAGAAAGGAAGTGAAGGAAAGTTTGGCAAGAATGTGGGCTCCTTCCCTTATGTAAGCTGGCGTGCATCCCACCTCCTGTGGGTAGAGCAGAAAATGGAAGGGAGGAGAATGGTAGCACTAAACTCCTGCCCACGGCCTGGGGGAAGCAGGAGGATCCATGGGGCTTAGAAACTAGGGCCACTGTGCTCCCAGGATGGTAGGTTTGCCCTCTTGTTCCAGACCTCTCACGGCCTCCACAACTCCACCCAGATTCTCCTCCTGAAAAAGAGGAGCAGTTTACCCTGATTGAAAGGCACTTGCATCTCTGGAGCCATGCAAGCTTTAAAGGTAAGAAAAGGCATCTATCTAGACCTGGCTCCGTCTTAGCTTCCCATTGCCGGTTTTCAGTCATCGATGGTGCCCCTGGTGGTGGAGAGTAACAGGTCTTGTAGGACCCAGGCAGCCACCAGGTTCTGAAGAGGAAATCCTGGAACTGACAGGGGTTTTGACCTAAGCATGAAAACATTTTGTTGGTGCTGTTGCTCGTTGTGGTTTTTTTGTTTCTTCCTCATACTTTCATAAATTCCCAAGTAGTTTTCCTGAACTTTATTTTTAGTGTGGCTGGCTTTTCCTTTATCTTAAGAGCAAAGGAATGTTGAAAGAGGAAGACCTTGAAGAATGATGTAATAGTAAGATTTGACTTTCTTGCCCAGTTTCCCACTCTCCATAACTTCCACTTGTAAATAAGAGGGAAGGGACATTTTAGGTAGAAGCTAAGGGCAAAGAACCAATATGATTGACATTAAAAGAACCATGGGAAAATAACTTGAAAAGATGGTTTGAGAACAAATTGTGAGAGCATTAAAAGCAATTTTTTGGGTTCTTTGAGTCATGAGTCACACCCAGTGATGCTCAGGGGTTCTCCTGGCTCTGCACTCAGAAATTACTCCTGGCAGTGTTATGGGATGCCAGGGATCACACCCAGTTTAGTCACATGCAAGGCAAATGTCCTACCTTTCTGTACTATTGCTCTGGCCCCTTGTGAGAGCTTTTGAATGTCATAATAGTTAAAAGTTGCTCCGTGAGTAATAGGGAGTTCTCAAAGACTTTAAGAGTTGAGAGATGTGATCCCATTTATCTTTCAAGTAATTTGATATCTGTGTAGAGGAACAGTTGGGAAGGGAGTCCAGGATATCGGTTATAGTAGTTTATTGTTTTCTGGTTTGGGGGCCACACATGGCAGTGCTCAGGGTTTACTCTTGGCTCTGTACTCAGAGATCACTCCTGGAGGGCTCAGGGAACCATACAGAGTGCTAGAGATCAAACTTAACTCAGCTGTGTGCAACACAGACTTCTTATCAGCTGTGCTCTCTCCGGCCCATATATTCTTGTTTTCTGCTTTTTAGACATACCCTTCAGTGCTTAGAAGCTTTCCTAGCTCTGCACTCAGGAGAGACTCCTAGTGGTGCTCCCAAAGCTGTATGCAAAGCAGTCTGGATTACCTCATCTCTTGTACTATCTCTCCATCCTCAAGGGAGTTACAGAGCAGAGGGGCAGGACAATAGGTAGGGCACTTGTCTTGCATGTGGTCACTTTGCAGCTTTGAAGTTCTTGAGCCAGGTAGTGACCTCCAGTGATTGATGGAAGTGCTCTTTGTTGTAGGTGGCCTGGAGGAGATCCTGGCAGTTCTTCACCCAGAGGTGAGTTTCCAGGACCCGCAAGGTCAGTCAGTCCTATTCTGCACAGAAATGCATGACATGGCAACGACTAAGAGTTTTTCCTGTTCCTTTCTCCCCATAGAGAACATAGCGCACAGCTGGGTAGGCAAAATTGGTGTTTTTCAGGTACTGCATAAATTCCAGGGCTGGGCTTCTTCCCATTAGGCACACTCCACTGAATGTCTTCACCTGCATTGCAAAGCATGGAGGAAGGCCATGGGGGAAAGAACGAGAGAAATTCTTATGTGAAATGTTGACTATGAAGGGTCCTTAGTGACGTCCAAATGAGTGTTCAGAAAACTGAAATATTGAGATTGGCAGAGAAAGGCAGATACAAAGATGTGTCTTTGGAACACAGCAGCATAGTCTAAATAGGCTCCATTTCTGATGTGGATGAGGTTGCCTGCAGGAAGAAGAGAGCATGGAAGAAATGGGCAAGAAGGAACCTATAATTGAGAATTTGTCAGGATAGATTGTGAGCGGGCCTCCAGGTCAGAAGGACCACACTGCAGAAACCAGGAAACTCTTATTCAAGCTGGAGCTGTTGCTTAGCATCATCAGTGGAGGAAAATAACCCATCTCGGCCCTAAGGGAATCACTCACAGTGGTCTTTTGAGGAGGGAGTTTCTAAGGAATGACAGTTTCTAAGGAATGATGTCCAAGTGGAATTACGGACGGGAGATAAGGAAGCATAATTGAAGCACAAAAACTACTCTTGGGAGAGATTCTGCAGTAAGGAAGGCGATGTAGAATGAAGCTTGAAGAGAAGCAATTTCCATTTGCATAGTTCATTAGTTTGCAAAGCACATTCGCAATCATTAACTGACTTGGTTCCCAAGACTCTAGAAGTAGGAAAAGTGAGTATGAGTGCACTTTGAAACAAAAGGTAACCACATCTTGTCCAGGGTTGTCTATAGCAAATAAGTTAAAAAGGAAAAAAAAACACTTGAGTTTAGGATTCAGGTCATTTTGTTATTAATCCAGTGATCTTTTTTCTGTGTCAAACAAGTATTTATGAAGTGCTTGATTTATTTAGAAATCGGCAAGAGGAGAGTATTTTGCTCCTGGTATCCTAAAAGGTTGTGTGCAAGATATTGCCATGTTGAAGTCAAAGCCAGAGAGAGAGAGAGAGAGAGAGAGAGAGAGAGAGAGAGAGAGAGAGAGAGAGAGAGAGATTTCAGGGAGCTCTCAGGTGAGTTAGAGGAACAGACACTGCAGAGTCAGACCATGAGATGGTGGTTCCAGCCTGGCATGACCCCAAATCAACATCACGAACCTGCATGTGGAGCTTCTGTTGAGCTGAGGAGACACTCAAGCTGCCAGTGTCTTTAAGGTGTCTTAACTACTCTCCTGAGGAGAGGAGAAGCCTCAGGCTAAGAACATTTGCCATCAATTGTATTTTGCTAAAAATCAAATAATTGTTTGTATGATTATTTCTACTTGTGACAGTGCTGATTCATTATTTATCATAATTGTAAGAAGGTTAATATGAAATCCATCGAAGTAAAAGAGTCATATTAGGAGCTGGAGACATAGACCAGGGGTAACACAGCCAGCCCAAGATTTGTGCCTGAACAGGGTCCCCTGAGACCACCCGGAGTGATTCCTGAGTACCAAGTCAGGAGTCAGCCCTGAGCAAGCCAGGAGTCAGCCCTGAGCATGATTGGATATGGACAAAAAAAAATGTCAAATTAAAGAAAAATGTCATTTCAGTTTTAGGCCAGGTGGCACACACATGAGAGAACACCAAAATGTGTATTTGAATACCAAAAGTTCAAAACATTCTGGCCTTGGGAATTACTCCAGTAAGAGTAATACATGGTTAGTGCAGGGTAGAATGATATGGTGGCAACTAAGAAGATTCTGATCAATATTTTAAGGAAGTTCAAGAAGAGGAGGTGAGTCTTCCCACTGAAGACGTTGTTTGCATCATTTCTTAGAACAGTTTCAGTTGCAATAATAAGAAGCAAACCAAAAAGGTTGTGCAGTCCAGTAAATTTATTATCGCTTACACAAATGCCTCCAGGATCAAGTCAATGGTTTACCCACAGCCAGAGGAACTCAGCTTCCTTTTTTCTTCCTATCTCAGAAATGCTTTGTCCTCCTGACCCCAAATTGGTTGAGATGGTTTCAGCAGACCTATCATAGCATGCCACACTTCAGGTTAAAGAGGCTTTTCAGTTAGAGATTAAGAGTGTAGAGCACAGAAACTTTTCCTGAAAAGCACCTCCACCAAATCATTTCTCTTTTGGATTTATTTTTTCAAAAATGTGCCATGTACCACACATAGAAAAATCACGTAAAGGGGTATCAAATGGCCAAAAGTAACTAGATTCATTAGGATTCATTCTCAGAAAAAGGGAGTGAGACCCTTTGCTGAAGGATGGATATCTCAGGATTCTAGGGGCTTTCGGATCAGACACAACTGGTTAATGAATATTCAACCTTCTCTTTTACAGCTCATACCAGTGGCTCTGGAATTCCTCATAGAAACTATTCAACATAAGTGGGCATGTCTGTATGTTTAATTAATTTTTTTATTTAGTTCTTCTCTCCATGTGCTGGATTATAGCAGAACGAAATACTTCCACCGCAAAATCAACATCTGGTTTAGTGATGCACATTGGGGGTGCAACTCGGAACGTCTGAGGAGACAAAGATTAAGGGATCATCATAGGATCAAATATAGTTTTCAAAATTATCTTTAGACACTGTGATTTACAATACTGTCACTACAGAGTTCTAGGCATACAGTATAGAGTCCCCATACCCATCACCAGGGGGTAATATCCCTCCACCATGTTTCATAGATCCTTCTCACCTGCCCAATTTCCCCCTTGGCAAACTAGTTTTGTTTTACATTTAATTATTATAGTTTGGATCACATGTTTTGCACTAGTGTTTACTCTTATGATCTTGATCTTAATGTACCCAGGTACCTCATTTCTGCCCCCACCAAATGCGCAAGACTGTCTATGCAGTGTCCCTGTGTTTACTTCATCGTTCAGGAGCAAATATGATTTTGAAGAAATACTCTAAAATGCACTAAAATAAGAATCCAAAAATCTTGTTTTTATTATGCTATTGCTTCCTAGATTGGTCTCTTTCCTCAGTGCTGTATCCAGGTCATGCATACCCGGTCTCTATATAAGTTCTGGTGCCATCTCTTCTGCCCTCTTTTCGTTTCATCACCTGCTTGCCTCCTGGTCCTTCTACAACCCGTGTCTATTGACATCCATTTCTGCCATCACGGGGGATGCTATACTTCAAGTTACCTCCCAACAAAGCAACTTCTTCATTTCTTTACTGTCAAAACTGGAATCTTCATCTCAGTTCCTCTATACGCACACCCAAGCTCAATACCCTAAGCCACCTTGTCACCAGGAATAACTCAATTTCTGACTTCCATGACACCTGCCCTTTTCATGAAAGCTTCACGCTCCCAATTCCTCCATGATCTTCCTCTTAACACTCTTCCTTGCTCGCTCTCCCAGCTTGGAACACATGTTGATGATCAGAACTCCCCTCTCACCTGCCCCCACAATTTGCTTGCATCTCCACCCTTCTGCTCCTGTACCCACACATCCAGCCCTGATCAAAGCTATGCGTGAACTCCACCACAGAGGCGGGTTCAAGGACACCATTCAGTGGAAAGATGGACACCATCAGCGAGCTATTCAGGTTGCTAACAGCTGTTGGTTCCCCAGTTTTTCTGTCCTCTATCGGCTCCCTTTTCTGTTCTAAACATTTGTCATTCGTCTGAATTCCTCCCCCAACTCCTCCGCCTCAAGCTCTATTTTATGGATAATCTTGCCTCATGCTTCTTAGAAGCTGTCAGGCAAGATCTTTCCATGCTCTGTTCTGCTCCCACATTCATTCTTACAGCCTTGTTGGAGGTCCAGAGCATAAAGTGTTTCTATGTGCCATTCAGCTCCAAATTCTCCACCTGGGTCCTTGGTCTTGATATTTCCTCAAGTATGAGTCACTTGTCGGAATCATCCTGTCTTCTTGCATCTGCCATGTCTTCTCAATTTCCTCTATAAATAAACTGGCTTAAACCTACACCCAAATCCAAATTATCCCCCATAAAAATATGTTGATAATCTCTTCCATCCTCCCAGCCACCAGATCAAGGCTTTCCTCTCCGTTCATCCCAACAAGTTGGAGCTTATTGATTGGACTGATTCCCTCTGTCCTCTCTCTCCCCATTCCTGCACCAACCCAGTGGAGTCTGATTTCTGCCTGTCAACCTCCTCACACCGTTTTGGCAGAATCTGCTGCTCACTTGCTAAGTGGAGAATCCACGTGTCTCCCTTTGCGCTACTACTCTTGATGGCAGCTTTGACGCTTTGACCTCTCCCTCTTCCTCAGCCCCTGAATTTCTTGCTTCCAGGAAGCCACATTTCCCAGCACCCCCATCAGGTCCTGGGGCCCCTGAATTTCCTTCCTCTTGTCTCTGCCCCTTTTCCATCTCCCCTATATCTTTCCCACTGCCTGTACTTCAAATGTTCTTTTCCTTTTTTTTTTTCTGGTTCTTTCTGGGCCACGTCCGGTTCTTCAGGGCTAATTCCCAGTGTGGTACTTGGGGGCTGTGTGTGTATGGGGGGGGGTCACTGCTGCAGCTGGGGGCATCTTGCAGTTCCTGTGATGGAACCCCAGACTCCTGGACTCCAGCCCTTTGAGCTGCCTTCCAGCCCCCAAGTGTCCCCTTAAATGTCCATTTCCAGCCCCCCACTCACTCCACTTCCCAGGAGCTTTTCCCCATCTCTCCCCACTTCTGTGTCCATGACTCCCAAACCTCTTCAATACCTTCCCGGGGGATACAGCCTCATCTGTAGAGTAGGGGGTCCATTAACCCCACAGAGACAGAAAAATCGAGTATATTGACTATGGGAGTATGGGTAAAATGTTCAGAACACTGTGGGAAGTGTTTGACGTCCCATTATCACCAATTACTGCCTCCAACCCTATGTCTCCAGCCCCATGGACTGCATGGAGCTATCGGCATTCTGCTGTGTTTCCACATCGTACATTGATCTGGTCAGTGATAGCTCAGCTTGGCCAGAAAGAAGGGAAAGAGAAGAATAAAAATAATCAAATGGGAGGCTGGAGGGATAGTACAGTGGGTAGTTGACCAATAAGCTCAACTTTCTCCTATAAACCTTGATTGCTTTGTGCTAAAATTTCCTCTATCTTCCTCTCTCTTTCAGCTCGATTAAGGGAGGGCCAGCTCCTTCTTATTCTTGTAGCTTTGTTTATTTTGGTTTTAGGTCCACAGCTGTTGATGCTCAGGGGTTTCTCCTGGCTCTACACTTAGGGATCACCTTTGATGGTGCTCCAGAGACCATACTGGGTGCTGAGGATCAAACCCGGGTCAACTGCGTGCAAGGTGAGTGTTCTACCTGCTGTTGTAACACTCCGGGCTCTCGTAGCTTTAATAACCAACACAGCCACTGAGACTTAGTCCTCAGTGGTCTCGAGATAATTAAGGAATAACCCAGCAAGCAAACAATTCATTATTCTGTTTTCATAAGTTGTGAATCTTGGGATTTTAAATCACTAAATTACTCTCTTTCTCTGGTCTGTACAGAACAAAGGAAAACATTTATGACCAGGACTTTAAAGAAAAACAAACACCTCAATAGCATGCCCCAGCAAAAGGGCTCATTCTGCTTCTCTCTGATATGGTTTGTTTGGGGGCAGGGAGACCTGTAACCCTGTGAGATTATAGACTGGGGAGAAGAACACTGTGATGGATCCTTGAACAAAGGTGGAGAGACTGTCACAGCGCCAGTGCGACAGATGCAAGAGACACAAAGTCTAGCGAGAGGGCTTGGCTGAGCGCTTTCATTTCCTCTGGGAATTACAACACCAGAGGGTACACCAGAACTGAGGAGTGAGCAGAAGTGGAGCCGAGAAACTGGTGCTCAGTGTTCTAATGTGAAAGATGGGTTCTGGGGGATGGCTCAGTGACTTGGAGCACCTGCCTGGAGAAGGTGAGGCTGAGTGCTGCATGCCTGGTGCCCCCGGAACCGCTGCTTGAGCCTGGCAGCCTGACTCTCTGTGATCCTCAGCCTCGAAAGGGATTTCTAAGTGCTCTGGCTGAAGGCTGTGGGCTCCAGGAGCACCACAACTGAAAAGACATTCAAGCAGCCCAGGGAGAAAGCCAGACTCCCAGCAAATACGTGTGTAAGCGTGTGCTGATGCTCAGCTAGCCCTGAAACCACTTATTTGAGTTACAGAAGAAGAGCTCGACTCCCAGGGAGCATGTGAGCACGCAATGGATCTGAGGGAGTGTGGTCCCGAGTCAAACAGCCTGGAGTGATACCCCTGTGAGTACTACAGCTACCCATGCAAGGGCACCACAGCCAGTTGGCAGGGTAACCCCTGGTCCTTAAAACAGCCATAGCAACAAGAGAGGGAAGGGGAAGGAAAAAAATCTAAAGGGAGACTGGAAGGAGAATACAGTGGGAAGGGTGCTTGCCTTGCATACGGCTGACCCAGGTTTGATCACTGGCACCATATATGGTTCCTTGAACCTAGTCACTGGCACCATATATGAACCCAGTCAGGCGCGATCCCTAAGCACAGAGCCAGGAAACTAAGCACTGCTGGTTCCAACAAAAAATCAGATGGGAAAGAAAAATTATAAAGGACAATAAAAGATATTAGATCACCCTAATTCTTTTTTTTCTTTTTCAATTTTCTGTTCTTTTCTTTTTTTAAATTTTTATTAGTGAAACACCATGAAGTACAGTTGTAGACTTACACATTTTTGTGCTTGGGTTTCAGTTATACAATGATCGAGTACCCATCCCTCCATCAGTGCCCATTCTCCACCAGCACTGATCCCAGTATCCCTCCCACCCCCATCCCCCCCATCTCACCCTGATTCTGTGGCAGGGCATTCCCTTTTGTTCTCTCTCTCCTTTTGGGTGCTGGATCACCGTAATTCTTAATGTCTGCCCCAGAGCTGATTCTTGTTGAGGGATTGGAGATGTGAAGCTCAGGGGCTAAATCGCTTCACAAACAGTGGCCCACGGGACAGGGGTAACACCTGGTGGCTGAACTTCACTGTTTTCAGGATGGAGAAGGGGAGGATGGTCTGAAGAGCGCTGCGCTGAATAAGAACCTGAGGGTCGCTCTAGCTAGAGGTCAGAATTAAAGCATGGTAACAAGGTACATACTACGTAACGGTTGTGCACAGTGTCCTCGGACGTAAATCTGCTGCTAGTAAATCCTCTCGCTTGTCTGGACATCTAGTTCATGCCCGTTAGACTGCTGGTCCCTGCTAACCAAATCATTTACCATGGCGCTCCCTAGTGGCCGAAAGGCTGTACTGCCGCTTTCTTGTAAAACTTCCTGAGCCCTTTTTTCTTACCTGAGAAAAAACGCCACCTCTGCCAATTAGGAGCCCCATTTGCTTACAGTCCTCGTGGATTTGGTTTACTTCTTCACGGGGAAGAGGCTGACGGCCCACCTGTCAATATATTTTAAGAAAGATTTTCTAGTTGGTGTCCCAATAGTAAAAGACAATTTCCAAGAAAGCAACCCCCAAACAATCAACGCTCTTTTCTCCTACTCAGGCTCTCTGGGATTGAACAAACTGGAATGAAGATTACTTTTGGGGGAGGGAGAGAGGAGTTTTTTTTTATTATTATTCAAACCATTTGTTCATATTTAAATCCATCCGAAATTCCCAAAGGCAAAATGAAGAAGAATGTAGAGCTCAGGCAGGCGCCAAATCTCAGCTTTGCCAACGACTACCCCGGGGGGGCCTGTTTCTTTAATAGCTAAATTTGGGAGTTGACTTTAGGGTGTGGAAATTCTCCTCGACTCTTCACTCTGTTTTGCCCACGTAAAGAGTTCATTTCAAAGTCCAAGAAACGGCTCCGGGGTTGCACAACAGCAGGACAGCCCACGCCTGCGCCGCGGGGCTGGGCTCATTTGTCTTCCTCTTTCTTGGGGTGGAATTTGTTCTCTGCTCCCCCAAGACATAAACTTCCAAGGAAGAGACATCTGAAATGAGTCGACCAGTTCCCCCCTGTCCGGATGCCAAGGAGATTTTGGGCTGAGTCAAGGGCTGGGAACTGCTCCATTTCCAGGTGTCTCCTGCCTTAAAATGCATCATGAATGGGTGGAGGGGTCCTTGTACAGGGTCAAGGACCAAGCCCTGAGCACAGCTGGGGGTGACACAAAAATGAGAGGGGGTGGGAAAGAGAGAGAGACAGAGAGAGACAGAGACTGACGTAAAGAGAGACAGAGAGAGAGGGAGGGAGAGGAAGAGAGATGGTGGTGGGAAAGAGAGAGAGAGACAGAGGGACAGAGACAGACATAAAGAGAGACCTAGAGAAAGAGAGAGGTGGTGAAAGACGAGAGATGGTGGTGGGAAAGAGAGACAGAGAGATAGAGACAGAGAGAAAGGGAGAGTGAGGGAGGGAGGGGGACAGACACAGACAGAGTGAGGAGAGAGAAGGGGAGGGAGAAAGGGGGAGAGAGAGGAAGGAAGGGAGGGGTAGAGAGAGAGAGAGGGAGAGACAGAGACAGAGAGAGAGACAGTGGATGAGGAGGGAGAGGGAGGGAGGGAGAGAGGGGAGAGAGAGAGACAGAGAGACAGAGAAGAAAGAGAGACACAGAGAGACAGAGATAGAAAGAGGCAGAGAGACAGAGGGAAACAGAGAGACAGAGAAAGAGAGGGAGAGGGAGAGAGGAAGACAGAGAGAGATAGAGAGGGTGAGAGCCAGCGAGTATGAATACAAAGGCGAATTCTTTATGACCAAAGGGTTGTCTTGTGAGGGCTGAGTTCTCTGTATTGACAACACACCCCGCAGGGCACGGGGTGGGTGTGGGGTTGGGGGTTGTGGGAGCAGCTGCCCCAGTGAACCCCCCCCCCCCACAGCCCTCCTGCAGCTGCTGTGGTGGTGGCCCTGGGTTCCTGTGAGTCGGAGGGCTCGCTCCTACCACCCCTCCTCCTCCTCAGTTTCCTGCTTCTGCACATATCCGTCTTCCTGCCCTCCCTCCTTGGGCCCCCCACCCCCGCTGCCCTCATCCAGCCTGTTCTCCAGCCAGGCTAGCTGCACTAAACATTGTCCTCGTGGTCTTGCAGTGGCCACGTCTGCATCCATTACTTTTCATTAACGGAAAGAAATATTCACATTTTCACCAGATAGCCGGACAGCTTGCACCTTTGGGTCTCATGTATTAGAGAATGACTAAAATCTTATTTTTTTTTTTCTTTTTCTTTTTGGGTCACACCTGGCTATGCACAGGGGTTACTCCTGGCTCATGCATGCAGGAATTCCTCCTGGCGGTGCTTGGGGGACCGTATGGGATGCTGGGAATTGAACCTGGGTTGGCTGTGTACAAGGCAAACAGCCCACCCGCTGTGCTATCGCTCCAGCCCCAGATGACTAAAATCTTGGAATAAATTTGAACTCAAGTGTGAGAATCAGAAATACTCAAAGATGGTTTGAGGGACCAGAGGTCAGGAAAGTAAAGAGGACCTACTAGAAAGGTTGGGGATCTGGATGGGGAGTTGGGCGAAGGGGCTCTTTGGTGATGTTCAGGATGTGCAGAGGTGGAGTTAGTTGGGCCTCAGCCCATCATTGGCCGGGCCAGGTCCCTCCCTGTCCCTTGCCCCTTTAATCACCCCTGGCCTCCAAGGCTATGAGTAACCGAACAATTTGTCTGCATTCCACAGAAAGAAGCCGAGCTGGAAACAATCGCGAGAGTCACAGGTCACTGCTCGGGAGCGCTGGATGCTGGGGAGAAGCACCCAAGTGCTTGGCCACCAAGTAGGCACGCTCCCTGCTAACCCTTCTTGAGTCTCACGGAGCCGTCTGTTTCTCTTTCTTCTTTGACTCTCTGGGGGTAAATCTGCACCTTCTTGAAGATTATAGCTAGCAGCAATCCATGGCTATTGGGAAGACTTTTTTTTTTCTTTTTGTGTCACACCCAGCAATGCTCAGGGGTTCCTCCTGGCTCTGCACTCAGGAATTACTCCTGGCAGTGCTCGGGGGACCATATGGGAGGCCGGGGATGAAACCCAAGTCTTCAGCCTTGCAAGGCAAATGGTCTACCTACTGTGCTATCACTCCACCCCCTTGGAAGACTCTTAAAAGAGATGCATAATGTGAAAATGGACAGTTTCTCCTCCCTCACTCCTGCTTCAAATAATTTGGGTGATAATTATCACCTGCTGATAATTTGGAGGAACCAGACAGCTTTTCTATGCATGAAAATACACTTATATGTACTTTTAATTAAAATAATTTTTTGCGCCCCAACCGCTATGCTATCACTTCACCCCTTATGTATATTTTTAAAAAGTCAGTCATACTTAGTAGTCATTTGGTTTTTTGTTATACTTAGTAGTCTTTCTTAAGTTTCAACATTTAAATATTTGGGACATAGTTTTTTTATATCAGTACTTGTTCTTAAAAGTCACTGGATAAGGAATTTTGCTCCATGACTTGAAGGCCAGCCACACGTGCTAGGTGAGAAGGAAGCTCAGATAGAGAAGAGAGCACCAAATAAAGGGTGTTGTGAGGCCCCTCCCAGGGTGGGAGAGACATGCTAAAAGTGGTCTATAGACCAAACATGACTGCCACTCAATGCCTCTCTGGCAAAACACAGTACCCAAAAGAAGAGAGAGAGAACAGGGAGGAATGCCCTGCCACAGCGGCAGGGTGGGACGGGGGTGGGGGTGGGGGGGGGGAGGATGGGGGGTGGGAGGGATGCTAGGACCCGTGGTGGGGGAGGATGGGCACTGGTGGAGGGATGGGTACTTGATCATTGTATAACTGAAACCCAAGCACAAAAATTTATAAGTCTATAAGTGTACTTCATGGTGTTTCACTAATAAAAAAATGATTAAAAAAATAAAAAAATAAAAATAAAAATAACATAAAAAAAAGTCACTGGATATTGGGGCGAGAGAGATGGTATAGGAGCTAAGAAGCTTATTTGTATGCCACTAAGCCTGTATTGCCACTTTTTGCATTGCCAGGAGTTATTCTGAGCACAGAGCTAAGAGTAAACCCTGAGCTCAGCTTTTTGCGGGCCACACTCAGTGCTGCTCAGAAATTACTCCTAGCTCTGTGCTCAGAGATCATTCCTAGAGGTGCTTAGAAGACCTTAAGGCATACAGGAGATTGAACCTGGGTCAGCCAGCTGTGTGCAAGGCAAGTGCCTTGTCTTCGATATTAATCTCCCTGGTTGCTATTTCTGCATATGTTAAGGAAGTATTTCCATCACCGGAAATGCTAGGTCAGAATGTATGCAGTTAAATGTGAATAGACAGAGAAAAACTGTGTTCGTGTGTCTTCCATAACAGCATACTTGTGTTCCAATGCTGGGTTTTGCTGCAGGCCGCCAGAGGGAAGTTCTAGGTTACAATTGTCTGTAGCACTGTCACCTGTTGTTCATTGATTTGTTTGAGCGGGTACCAGTAACGTCTCCATTGTAAAACTTGTTACTGTTTTTGGCATATTGAATATGCCACGGGGAGCATGCCAAGCTCTGCTCTGTGGGTGGGATACTCTGGGTAGCTTTCCAGGCTCTCCAAGAGGGGCAGAGGAATCGAACCCGGGTTGGCCGTGTGTAAGGCAAACGTCCGACCTGCGTGCTATCGATCCAGCCTCACATTATAATTACATGTTCCATTTCCACCCGCTTCTCTGCAGATAATTTCTGCTCTTCCTCATAATTTACTTCTAAATATTTGCTCACCTTGGCTGTCTTATGCCAGGTCTATCAAGAATCGCATAAGTTCTCTCTCCTTCCCTGCTCTCAAACCCTGAGGACCTGTTAGTGTAGCCACTGTTCATCTCAGGGGGCTTTGCCAAGCCTGCTGGACCTGCGTGTTCTCTCCCTGAGAGTGGAGGAAGGGAGCGTTTAGCTCCTGTTTGCTCTCTCGACTCCATCTGTCCCAGGCCCCGCTGGCGAGCACAGCAGCTCAGCACTCACCTTGTCCTTCACCATTTCTATGCCGATCATGAGGCCTTTTCCTCGGACATCGCCAATAATTTCAAATTCCTCCCGCAACTTTGCAAGCTTCAGTAACATATAGGTGCCCACTTCTTGGCTATTTTGCTGCATCTTCTCTTCTTGGATCACCTGTTGAGAGAAGGCCCCCGTGACACGGCATTGAAAAAAGAATGTTCCAAAAATTGCCTGAGCAACATGGAGCGGGAAATGCACGGGATCTCCTTACAGACCCCTCTCCGGACTAAGAGAACCCAAAGGCTCCTGTGGTTATACCCTGTGCTACAAAAAGCTTTCTGTAAAAAGGAAAAGAAGACTTCTGGAGTGGAGTGTAGAAGGTCCCAAACTCAGTCCTGGCACTACGTCCCAGAGCACCATGGTGCTGAGCTCCTGGCCATCAGGAGGGAGCTCCTGGAGTCCTGAGTACAGCTGGGACCCCCACTATAAAAAGTCCATGTAGAGGGTATTTATCCAGAACTGCTTCATTCTTTTCCTCTCTTTTTCCTTCCTTCCTTCCTTCCTTCCTTCCTTCCTTCCTTCCTTCCTTCCTTCCTTCCTTCCTTCCTCCCTCTTTCTCTCTTTCTCCCTCCCTGCCTCCCTCCCTCCCTCCCTCCCTCCCTCCCTCCCTCCCTCCCTCTCTTTCTTCCTTTCTTCCTTTCTTCCATACCTGGCCGTGCTTAGGGGTCACTCCTGTCGATGCCCAGGGGTGGATCGAGCATTGCCAAGCATTGAAGCTGTCCTCTTACATACAAGTCATATGTTCCAACCTATTGAACATTTTTTTCTGACCCAAACATCTTTATTTTCTTTTTTAAATTTTTTATAAAAGGATGGTTTAGTAATTTGACTACAATAATGATTAAGCTTGTAGTACTTTAGTACTGATGTACTAAAGTATGGAACTAACAATTGCCTGAGTGTACATAATCCTTCATCCCTGTCCTGATGTCATTTCCAGACTGACCTTCCCCACTCCCAGTGTATGGTACTTTCTTTTGGGGTTGGGGGGGGCGAGGTCACACCATGCTCAGGTTACTCCTGGCTCTGCACTCAGGAATTATTCCTGGCGGTACTCAGGGGACCATACTGGATGCTGGGGATCTAACCCGGGATGGCCACATGCAAGGCAGATACCCTCCCCACTGGACTATCACTCCAGCCCCTGTTTTTTTTTATTTATTTATTTTTTTATTTATTTATTGAATCACTGTGGGAAAGGTTACAAAGCTTTCAGGTTTATGTCTCAGTCATGCAAATATCAAACACATTTCCCTTTACCAATACTTATTTTTTACCATGAAGAACCCCAATAAAACCCCACCCCCCACCCCTCCCCGTCCCTGTGAGGCAGATGAATTCTAGTTAACACTCTATCTGCTTTGATTAGATTCATTGTTTCAATAAAAGATTCACCACTATTATTTAGAGTTTACCCCCCCCCCCCCCAAACAGACATGCTGAAAAAGCATTGTGAAGTGATTTGCTTTCTACAGCTGGGTTCAAGAATTAAATGTTGGTTTTGGATTTCTGCTATTTTACCTATTGACCCTGGAAGTATTTCTACTGAAAGTCAGATAGTTAAGAAATTGGTTTCTGTGTTCTGGAGTCGTGACCGTGCTGGAGAGCCGCTCGCGGGGGGCAACCGGTGGCCTCGGTAGGGCGTGAAGGGCGGAGCGAAACGCCACCCTTCCCATGAAGTTTTAGTCGCCCCCACACTCCCGGCTCATACCTGCTGTCCACAAGGCTCCCATGTGGCCGCCATCTTTCTTTCCAGAGAGGAGAGGGCGAATGGGGCAACACCCTTTCCCCTCCGGCAGACTTGTTGGGCTGGATCAACGCATAGTCCGTTCACTTTTCTGCTCCAAGCTGCTGGGTTCTGCATTAAGTCCTTGTGCTTCTGGGGCCATACTCCAGCCCCTGTTTGATACTTTTTATAATCCAAAGCCAAGGGACTGTGTTTGATATTGTCTAGTCTCTTCTTGTTTTGTTACTCTACACTACACAAATGAGCGAGATCATCCATTATCTGTTCTTCTCCCTTTGGCTTATTATATTTTAACTTGATGCCCCCCCCCCGGTTCTATCCACACTGCAGCAAATCTGATTTTATCCTTTCTTAGAGCTCTTTAAGCTTCTCTTGTGTGTCTAGGCCTGAGCTTCTTTATCCATTCATCTGGCACTGGACTTCTGCATTGCTTCCGTATCCTGTCTGTTGTACTAAGTGCTGCAGTGAACACATGTGTGCACAGATCTTTTTGGGTTAATTTTTTGGTGTGTTTTGGGGTAGATGCTCAGAAGTGAAACTACCGGGTCATATGGAATTTCCAAAACGTCTTTATTCTCAAGGGTGAGTGAGATTTTAGGAATGAGACCAGACATGTTCCAGGGCAGTCTATAACCTAACTTCTGTCCTTCAGGGTTTATTGCGGCGGGCTTTGCAGAGAAGCGGGGTATGGTGGTGAATAAGACAAATGCTCCCAGTGAAAGAAATACCTCAGAAGCTAGCCCTCCTGGGATTCAATCAGACTTAGGCTGGGGTCCAAGCCCCGGCTGCAGGACCTGTGCTGCGATGCACAGGGTCCTTGAAACGGGACTCAAAGATGTAAGATCCTCGGGCCAGAGGGACAGTACAGGGATGAAGATCCTGTGCTTGCCTTGTATGCAGCCAGTCCTGGTTTAATCCCCAGCACTTCTGAGCACAATGCCAGGAAGAGGCCCAAAGTATTGCAGGGTATGGCCCAAAACCCCTCCTCCCAAATCAAATCAAATAAAATCAAATCAAATAATTTTTTCTTTCCCCTCAGAGCAAAGACCTATCATTCTTGACAAGAGAGGTGGAATATGTGACTTTATTTAGCTATAATAACTGCACTTGCCCAGCAAATCTCGAAGCTGTTAGGACTTACTGGTTCATTTAAACCCTCTCTACTTCAGTAACACTGTGCTTGAAAAGTTGGCACCCAGGTGGAAGTGATAGTATAAGTGGTCAGCTCTTGCCTTGCACCTGGATGACCCGGGTTCAATCCTCAATCCTCAGAGCCACATATGGTCCCCCAAGCTTACCAGGAGTGATCCTGGAGCACAGATCCAAGAATAAGCCCTGAACACCATCAGGTGTGCAACAGCGCCCCCCCCCCCAAAAAAAAATTGACACTGTGTACAATGAATGCTACTTGGTCTCACCGCATGATTTAGTCAGATAGGAAGCTACTTTTTAATGAAATGGTCAGCATGTAGTTTCATTTAAAAACACTTTTGTTTGAAAGAGTTCAAAAGATAGCCTGCAGCCTGTGTGAGGCCCTGGTTTTGATCTCTGGCGCTGCATGGCCCTCTGAGTACCTCGGGAGTGGACCTGGGGGCCCCTCCAGCCCCCACCTGGAGGTCTGAGCACTGCACTATCAGGCCTCCAACTAGCTGAGTGCTGTGAGGAGTGTTCCTTCTCTGACATCTGGTCCCCTGTGCACTGCTAAGGAGGCCCTGCCAAGAAGTTTCGCTTTATTTTTGGAATAAATAAATCATGTGCTTAGAAATGATCAAAACGAATTTAGTGGAATGACCCTCACTGTCCCTGTGCCTCACTCACCAAGTTTCTGTTCCTACAAACAGTCACAATTATTGATTTCTTGAACATTTTCCAGAAGCGCAATATACTTATTTAAACAGAAGCATTCAGTAAGGAATTAGTTGTTGTTAGGCATCAATTAAATAATTCTTTGTGCTGAGGCATTAGTTAAGGAATGAAAAATACTTTTTCTTGGGCTGTAGAGATCATGCAGGAATCAGGCACACACGTTGCATGTGGCCAGCCCTGGTTCTTCCCTGGTACAAGTTCTCTTGGTTTAACCCCAGAGGTGGGTGGACCCAATAGTTCCCTCACCTCAGAGCCTCACATCCTCGCCTCAATGGACCCCCCCAGCTCAGTTGAGTGAAATTGCAGAGGGGTACCCTTGAGCTTCCTGAGCACCACTTGGGAGCCCCCCTCCAAGCCCCCCATTTTTCATAGATGAGACTCCGGGTTAGATCCACTGGAGGGGCCTGAGTGATAATTCATAATGGCTACATTACCTAATTATAAAATCAAGGAATGCAATTTCTCTTTAGCCTTTAATTATTTTGTAGAATAACAAAAGGTCACAAGATAACATGAGTCAAGGTCAGCTACACTGTAGCACCGTCCTTCTGTCCTTCATGGATTTCCTTGAGCAGGCCCAGTAACATCTCCATTGTGAGACTTGTGACTGTGTTTGGCATATTGAATGGGCAGCTTGCCAGGCTTTGCCCTGAAGGCGAGATACTCTTGGTAGCTTGCTGGGCTCTCTGAGAGGGACGGAGGAATCGAACCTGTCTTGTTGGCTGGTCATGCACAAGGCAAACGCCCTAACACTGTGCTAAAGGTAAGCTACAACTAGAAATCAAGATTTGCTATTGGCAGCTCTCTGTACAGTATCATGCCCCAGAGGGGCTTTGTCTTTCTTGTACAATACTTCAATCTGATGAAGTATGGTGAATTGGAATACTCACTGAAGATCAAAGTCAAATTCCATGAACCAATAGTGAACTGTCCCTGACCATCAAGCCTTGCAGCGGTGTTCTCACCGGGCATATGGGTTTGAAGTTAGTCATTCTGTGAACCAGAGATGTTTGCACAACCGCCGGAACATACCTCAAGCACCGCTGAGCCAATGGCACAAGCCAAGGGGTTTCCTCCGAAGGTGTTGAAGTGAAGCAGTCGCTTGGCCAAAGACTTGGCTATCTCTAGCAGGAGGGGAAAACGGGTTGGATAAAGATCATCACCTCTCTGGGCTAAGGAGATGGCTCAGGGGTAGGGAAAATGCCTCTCCATGAGGCGCTGGGTTCCATCCCCTGTACTGCACACAAACAACTCACATTCCTGTTTTGACATCTTCTGTTTCCTTTGGAATTGCTTCTCATTTAACATCTCTACAGTATCTCGTTTAACACCATTTCATTGTATTGTATTGATGGGAAAAATAAGTTCCTGGCTGGAGACACTTTCTGTACTGATTTTTCATGTACCCCCTCTTATGCCCCCCACCCCCAGGTCTGTTTGAATTTTCTTCCACTACTCCTGTCTCCTTTTACACCCCGATGGGGTGCAGACTACATGGACCCCATCTGGCTGAGTGTGGGTAAGGGTACACAGGTACCCTGGGACAGAGATCTTGTTATCCAGGTTTAATGTCCGTCCTTCTCCCTAAACTGCAGAATGACGGTGCCCCTGGCCTGGAGCAAGCAGATTGGGAACGGATAAATGGAAGGATGAAAGCAAATAGTGGATGTTAAAGGCTTTTTGATTCTGTTTTCTTTTTTTTTTTTTTTTTTTTTGCAACATACTCAGTGGTGTTTAGGGTTTACTTCTGGATTTCTACTCAGGGATTACTCTTTTTTTTTATTGAATCACTGTGAGAAAGTTATTCATGATTGTGTTTCAGTCATACAGTGTTCTAACTCACCTTCACCAATGTATATTTTCTACCATCAATGTCCCCAGTTTCCTTTCTGCCCCTCAGTCTGCCTCTATGGTGCTCTCTCTCTTTCTTTCTCTCTCTCTTTCTCTCCTTTTAGACTTTGTGGTTTTCAATACAGGTACTGAAAAATTATCATGTATATCCCTTTACCTCCTTTCAGAATTCAGTTCTTGTCCAGAGTGATCATTTAAACTATCATTGTCATAGTGATGGTTCTCTGTCCTAACTGCCATCCCCTGCATTTGTGACAAGTCTCCAACCATGCACCAGTCCTCTTTGCCCTAGTTTCTACTGTCTTTTGGTATTAATCTTGTACTATTTTTATTTTATTATTTTTTTATAGCAAGGATCACTCTTGGTAGAATTTGGGGGCATGTGAGATGTTAGGAATTGAGACTGGGCCAGTTGCATGCTAGGCAAGTGCCATACCTGCTTTGCTACTTCTGGTTCCTTTTGTTTCCTTATGAGAAGTTTGGTGATGTTTTTGTGAACCAAAATAGGAATTTAACTTCTGCAATATCAATTGGCCTTTGGTTTTGGTCTGATTGGTTTTGCTCTACATTGTTTGACTCAGATGCAGTTTCTGAAAATGCCCAACAATGTCAAGTGAGGATTTAAATGTAATGACTTTTATGTTATAGGTGGCACCACATCCAATTTGTTATCACTCACCTGACAGTGAATATCATGGACAGAATCATGTCCTCAACTTAGTCAGCCTTAAACCCAATATGACTGGAAATGGGAACTTGAAGGGGGTACCTGAGGTTAATTAAAGTGCTAAGGGAGACTCACTAATTCAACAGGATTGGTATCTGTGGTGGTACAAGACAAAACTCACTCTGCACAGAAGGACGTGGAGGACACAGCAAGAAGCAGTGTCTGTGAGAGAGGGCTCACCAGACACCAGTCCTGCTGGTACCTTGATCTCCGACTTCTAAGCCCAGAACTGTGAGAAAATAAGTGATTGTCACTTCAGGAAAGCAGCCAGTGGCATCTTGTTATGCTAAGTCTAGCTAACTAATCTAGTAAGAGAAATTCTCTTACTGATTTAAAAGTACTCTTTAATGTATTGTGTAACCTTAAACTCATTTTATGGGAATTTACATGGAAACTTAATGAACTGTATTTCTTTTTGTGTACTCCATTTGTGGGAATATGAATTTACTTCTTAGTATTATGTGTATATATTATGTAACATATATGTAATTTGTGCATAATCACATAATATATAACATATGTAGTAAGTCTAAGTATTATAATTATGTATTACATACACATCTCACATGAAGGATTTAGTAACACAAATTTTTATATTGTTTTCAGGGCAAGTCTATATATTCAATTTGTTAAACTCCCCCTGTACATCTGCAACTTTGCTTTCTGAAGTAAGCTTACTCTTGGTGAGAAAATGAATGTTTTAAGATTTTCAACAAATCATTCATAAAAATGATTTTCTGTAAATTATCACTGAAAGGGAAAGTACTGTTTATTCTTAAGTTCCTTTCACAGAATATTCTGGCTAAATAAGATCTCACTTTACAGTTCTGTTGTGTTGATGAGACCTTAGTAAAGAAAGCCATAACTTTGGACTTTGAGTTGGAGGCCATTGGTGTGACAGAGTAAGATCTATTAAGGACTGTCAGGACTGGTTTCAGGCTGGTTAACACCCTTTGGTGTTGGTTTTGTCTTTGTGGCACGCTTTCCTCTACCTGGTCTGTATAGGGATGGGATAATTTGCTTTCCTGCAGTAAGAGTAGAAAGAGCTGGCTCTCTTCCACCTGTCCCACATCCGGCAGATAGATGGTTTTTCACTTTCCATTGCTTGGAAAATAAATTGTGTAGTTTCCATCACTGCTTCAAATTCTCACATGTTCCAGTATGTGTATCTGATACTGTCGCTAATATGGGAAGCAGGTAGAAAATGCAAACTTCCAGAAGCACCTACCTGGAGTTGTCACAACTGCTGCCATGGGGAAGCCATTTCCAATCCCCTTAGCCATGGTAACAATGTCTGGCAGGACACCGTGGGTTTGGAAACCCCAGAAGTGAGAACCCAACCTTCCAAATCCTGTCTGCACCTAAGGAAAGCAAATTCAAAAGCATTGGAAACCTTTCAAGACACAGTGATTTGGGCTGAGGAGATGGCTCAGTGGATGGAAACACAGCTTTGCATGCAGGAGACGCAGGGCCGCCTCAGCTGTGGCACTGGGTGTGAACCTAGAATGGAACTGGAAATAGTCTCTGAGGAACACTGGCTGTAGCCTTCCACCCTCCAAAATTTTATATATATATGTATATATATATATACATATATATATATTGGCGGGGTGTGGGGAGGCAGAGAAATAGTACAATGGGTAGGGTGTTGCTTGCATGAGAATGAGCCAGGTTAGATCCCCAACATCTCATATGGTCCTCCAAGAAACATCAGGCGAAATCCCTGAGTACAGAGCCAGGAGAAACTCCTGAGCATTGCTGGGCGTGGCCCCAAAGACAAAACAAAATACATATATTTTAAACATATATAATACATTTTATAATAAATATATATTAAACTGATATCCTTCCCTCTCCAATCTCCTCCTCCTCCTTCACTTTCTCCTCCTCTTCCTTACACCATCCTTGTACAACTGTGGTCAACTTAATCCATCTCTTAGCATTGAGCTACTGGAAGTTTCAACTAAATGGTGCAATTCTGACTATGTTTAAATCCTCTGAATCTCTGTTAATTTATCACTCAGATAGAAATACTAACAGTAATCCATCACAGGGATGCCAGGAGTCATGCCAATGTGAATAGAAAAAGGATTGTTATGATTTGCAGTCTTAAAAATGGACATCTAGGGGCTGGAGCAATAACACAGCAGGTAGGGCGTTTGCCTTGCACACTGCCAACCCAGGTTTGATTCCCAGCATCCCATATGGTCCCCCGAGCACCGCCAGAAGTAACCCCTGAGTGCAAGAGGCAGGAGTAAACCCTGTGCAATGCCGGGTGTGACCCCAAAAGAAAAAAATATGGACATCTAGAGTCTAAGATGGGGGAGCGGGGAGAAGGGAAGAGAAACTGTGTCTGCCCCAGGCTGCAGAAGGAATTAGAGCCCGCCACGTGAAGTTGGCAGTTAGTTTTAATTGATCAGCTTCTTTAAGACCTTACTCTTGAGAATGTGAGGGCACAGTTGAGCCAGTTAACAAGGATAGAGCTTTTTTAATCCAGAAAGTAAAGTGCAATTTGGACTGAAGTTGGCCTTAGGGTGTGTGTGTGTGTGTGTGTGTGTGTGTGTGTGTGTGTGTGTGTATGAATGCAAACTCTTTTTTTTCTAGAAGACATTCTACCTTCTGTTTTCTCTCACTATTTTCTCTTGCTTAGTTTCACATTATTTTGGTCTTGAAAGATTTTCCTGAGCCACAGCTGGGCTCTCACTGAAGGTAGTAAGGCATGCCATGATCCAATCTCTCAGCCTGGACCATCGTCACCAATGTACTTGTCTGGTAGCAGGGACTGCATCTTACTCCTCTCTGGATCTGTTATATATAGAGAAGAACTAGCGCTTCATAATAATTTGAGTAAAGTCGAAGTGACATCTGCACTTGTTTGTTCATTGCAGCCCTCTTTACAATAGCCAGAAACTGGAAGAAACCTGAATGCCCAAGAACAGATGACTGGTTAAAGAAACTTTGGTACATCTACACAATGGAGTACTATGTAGCTCTTAGAAAAGATGAAGTCATGAAATTTACATACAAGTGGTACAATATGGAAAGTATCATGCTAAGCGAAATGAGTCAGAAAGAGAGGGATAGACATAGAAAGATTGCATTCATCTGGGGGATATAAAGTAACAAAGTATGAGATTAATACCCAAGAATAGCTGAGATCAGCACCAGGAGGATTACTCCATAACTTAGAGGCCAGCCGGGTATCCTAGAGGAAAGGGCTATTCAGATAGAGAAGGGAGCACCAAATAAAGGATGTTTGGAGGATCCTCCCAGGAGGGGAGATGCATGTCGAAAGTAGACTATGGACTGAACATGTTTGCCACTCAATGCCTCTTTTGCAGACCACAACACCCAAAAGGAGAGAGAGAACACAGGGGATTGCCCTGCCACAGAGACGGGGGGATGGGGGGATGGGGGTGGGAGGGATATTATCCATGGTGGTGGAAAATGGGCACTGGTGGAGGGATGGGTATCTGATCATTGTATAATTGAAACCAAAGCACAAAAAATTGTAAATCTACAACTTTAAAAAAAATAAAATAAAATAAAGGGGAAAAAAAATAATTTGAGTAAAGCAGTGGCATGTGTGATGAAATACTACACAGCCACCAGAAAAATATAAAGTAATAAAATTTGCTTATAAGTGGATAGACGTGGAGTATCATGCTGAGTGAAATGAAGGAGAGGGACAGACATAGAATGAGTGCATTCTTTTGTAGGATATAAAAAACAGTATGAGACTAATACCCAAGGACAATAGAAACAAGGTCCAAGAGGACTGGTCCATGGTTAGAAGCTTGCCACAAGTGGGGATGGGGGAAGGGCAGTTAGGATAGAGAAGGGACCACTATGACAATGGTAGTTGGAAATAATTACTCTGGACAAGAGCAAGTACTGAAAGTAAGGTAAAGGTAAGGTAAAGGCCCTCCCGTTGATCATCGATTTGCTCGAGTGGGCCCAGTAACGTCTCCATTGGAGACTTTGTTGTTACTGTGTCTGGCATATCGAATACGTCACGGGGAGCTTGCCAGGCTCTGCCGTGCAGGCGAGATACTCTCGGTAGCTTGCCGGGCTCTCTGAGAGGGACGGAGGAATCGAACTCGGGTCGGCCATGTTGGCTGCATGCAAGGCAAACGCCCTGCCGCTGTGCTATGGAATATACATACTATTTCAGTATCTGTATTGCAAACAATAATGCACTGAAGGGGGCGGGGAGAGAGAGATAGAGACAGACAGACAGATAGACAGACAAATAGACACACAGAGACACAGAGAGACACATAGAGACAAAAAGAGAGGAAAAGTGCTTGTCATAGAGACAGGCTGGGGTGGGGTGGGAGGGAAACTGGGGAAGTTGGTGGTGGGAAATGTACACTGGTTTGTACACCAGTGTTAGAGCACTGTATGACTGAAACCCAATCATGAACAACTTTGCAACAACTTTGAAGTAACATGTAACTGTATTCATGTTAATTCGATTTCTAAAATAGTGACAAGTGTGCCTAATTGTAGAAAGACACACAAACATTTTCACACAATTTCTGCCAGATCCTTTCTGGGGAAGATCCCTTGATCCCTCCGGCTCTTGGACTGGCTGCCTTTTTTCCCAACATCTCTGCGTACTACAGGTCCAGGTGTGAGATGTGAACCTTGGACAATAATTCTGATGCACAATCGAAAGATCAAATTTCCTTCTCATTCCTCTGTTCTCTTCAGGCCTTACTGCACCTGCAGGGCCCAGGAGTTGAAATTAGAAATCACCAAACATGCAGGAGTGAAGACACAGGCAGCACACCCGGCTCCAATTTTGTTTAATTTCTTTTTAGTTGGGGGCTTTTTGGGTCACACTGCCCTCAGGAATTACTTCTGGCAGTGCTTGAGTTCTTGGGGGACCATATGACTTTTTTTTTGACTTTTTGGGTCATACCTGGTGATGCACAGGGGTTACTCCTGGCTCTGCACTCAGGAATTACTCCTGGTGGTGCTCAGGGGACCATAAGGGATGCTGAGAATCAAACCCGGGTCGACCACATGCAAGGCAAACACCCTACCTGCTGTGCTATCGCTCCAGTCCTTGGGGGACCATATGGGATGCTAGGGATCAAATCTGGGTTGGCTGTGTGCAAGATAAACACCCTACCCACTGTACTATTGCTCTGTCCTCTCTGCTTCTTCCTCTGGCTCTAGTCTTGGGTCTGCTTCATCAGTTCTGGGAAATCTGATGAATTTGCCCAAATATGATAAAGTAGGAACTGATCATGGGGAATCCACATTTTTTCCCAGGGGGCACACCTGGCTGTTCTCAGGGCTTACTCTTGGCTCTGCACCCCTGGAAGGTTTGGGGAACCATATGGGGTGACAGAGATTGAACTCTGCTGACTGTGTACAACAAGCACCCTATCCTCTCTACTGTGATTCTGGCCCCAGCATCTGTCAATTTTGTCTTCCTGCACATTTGTCTTTTGTTCTTCATCTACCCGAGTACCATAAAATCCGTTGAACTACGTGAAATTTTGTGGAACAATAAGCCAGGTTCAGTGACCTAACAGGTGCCAGTTTCATAGAATCTTTCAGTAGAACAGAGCTGACTCACTGTAAGGTTCATTCACTCACACATCTTGAGAACCAGTGGGCCTCTGAGGCGAGTTGGGTGGAGCTGTGGTACATGCTTTGTACAGAAGCAGCTGGTCTGAAACATTTACTTTTTTAGCATTCAAATAATATTTGAACATTTTCATTTCTTTTTCATTTTTTCCCTTAAATTTTTATGAGTGAAACACCATGAGGTACAGTTGTAGACTTATAAATTTTTGTGCTTGGGTTTCAGTTAGACAATGATCGAATACCTATCCCTCCACCAGTGCCCATTCTCCACCACCACCAGTCCCAGTATCCCTCCCACCCCTTGCCCCCATCCCACCCTACCACTGTGGCAGGGCATTCCCTTCTGTTATCTCTCTTCTTTTGAGTGCTGTGGTTTGCAAAAGAGATATTGAGTGGCAATATTGTTCGGACTATAGTCTACTCTCATCACGCATTTCCCATCCTGAGAGGAACATCCCAACACCCTTTATTTGGTGCCCCCTTCTCTATCTGAGCTGCCTTTTCCCCTAGTGTGTGTGGCTGTACTCAAAGCCATGGAGTAATCCTCCTGGTACTTAACTCGGCTATTCTTGGGTGTTAGTCTCCTGTTTTGTTACTTTACGTTCCCCAGATGAATGCAATCTTTCTATGTCTATCCCTCTCTTTTTGACTCATTTCACTTAGCATGATACTTTCCATGTAGTACCACTTGTATGTAAATTTCATGACTTCATCCTTTCTGACAGCTACATAGTATTCCATTGTGTAGATGTACCAAAGCTTCTTTAAGCAGTCATCTGTTCTTGGGCACTCAGGTTTTTTCCAGATTCTAGCTATTGTAAACAGTGCTGCAATGAACAGACAACTGCAGATATTGCTTCGACTATACTTTTTTGCCTCTCCAGGGTATATTCCCAGAAGTGGAATTGCTGGGTCAAATTGGAGCTCAATTTCTAGTTTTTTGAGAATCGTCCATACTGTTTTCCAGAAGGGCTGAACCAGTTGGCATTCCCACCAGCAGTGAAGGAGGGTCCCTTTCTCACCACATCCGCGCTAGCACCGGTTGCTTTTGTTCTTTTGGATGTGGGCCAGTCTCTGTGGTATGAAATAATATCTCATTGTTGTTTTGATCTGCATCTCCCTGATGATTAATGATGTAGAGCATTTTCTCATGTGTCTTTTAGCCATTCGAATTTCATCTTTGATGAAGTTTCTGTTCATTTCGTCGCTCCATTTTCTGATAGGGTTGGATGTTTTCTTCTTGTGGAGTTCAACCAGTACTTTGTATATCCTTGATATCAACCCCTTGTTGGATGTGTATTTGGTGAATATTTTTCCCATTCTGTGGACTGTCTTTGTATTTTGGTCACTGTTCCTTTTGAGGTGCAGAAGCTTCTTAGTTTAAGATAGTCCCATTTGTCTATCTCTGTTTTCACTTGCTTAGCCAGTGGCGTGACATCTTTGAACTCAGTTTATGCCAGACCATCAAAGACTGGCTTCCCCGTTTGGCTCCAGAGATGACCAAAGTTTTTCTGTGAAAACCAAGTTAGTTAATTACAATGGCTTGTGAACGAAGACTGGGCAGCGGCACTGGTCCTACTCGGGGTTTCCGTTCCCTGCTCCCTCTTTCTCTGCTCTCGTTGCCTTTTGGTACCACCTTTCTGCCCTCCTAGAGGCACTGTGGTTCCTGTGGTCTTGGATCCGTAGACCAAGTTGTTGCTCTGTTGTTACCAATTTCCTGACCTAGACAAGCTATTTAGCCAACCTGGACTGAAATGAACTTACTTATAAAATCATCATATTAACACTAGAGCATAACTTAATGATGTACCCTAAGTATTACCAGAATTAAAGCAAAACACAGAGTTTTTGACATGTAACAAGTGCTCAGAAAACATTAGTATTTCTGTCTTTGCCTAGCCATTAAGATAGTCCCTCTGAGAGTTACCTTGTGCTTCATTTACGATAGTGTGTGTGTGTGTGTGTGTGTGTGTGTGTGTGTGTGTGACCCCCGAAAGTGCTCTGGGGTGGATGGTGCTCGGGTGACCACGTGGTGCTGGGATGGAAGCTGCATCTCCCACATGTATTCACTCTGTTGAGTGAATTCATTCATTCTCTCTCTGGCCCTCAATTATGTTCTTGAGATTGGTGAAACTATTTCATAGAAAATTCAAAAACTCATTAAAAATGTAGTCCATCTTCCTCAACTTAGTTTCACTATGCCAGTCTTACTATGTGTTGATTGAGAAGGCAAAATTTTCTCCTGTTCCCTGATACAACCCTTTGTAAACCAACTGAATAAGTTTCTTTAGCAGGTTAACACACTTCAACTTGGACTTAGGGTAGTTCAGGTGTCCAAAACTTGTACTAGCAGGTTGGGACTGGGCAGGTCCAGTACCCTGGACTGGGGTCATTCAGTCCACTCAGACATCAAAGACATGGTTGCACATGCTGAAATTGCAGAGAATTCGGCCCCATGCCAGTTACTGGGAATGTTTAGCTGGGAAACAGTTGAACCAGCCTGAAACTACTTACAAACACTACATGTCCTAGGTGGGTTGAGCCTCTGTAAGCAGAATCATGATGAATCAGAGCTGGGAGCCCTCTGACCACTGTTCTTTTAATTTTCATTGATAGTCTCAGTGGACAGGTGACTTTCTTTCATACCCTCTGAGCTGGGGTATGCTTATAAGTAAGGCAATCCTTTCATAAATGTAGGCAAGAGCTCGCAGAGCCACTGTACTTTGTTCCTTTCAAAGTAGTCTCTTGGAGATACTTCAGCTCATTCCAATTGCCTCGTCACCTTCATGTGTTCTAGAATTTGGGAGAGGGTTCCCAAGTGTGGTCAGGGGTCTTGGGGCCACTCCCAGTGATAGTCAGCCAACCAGGCTGGGCAGTTAAGTGGTAGGGACTGAGGATCCATTGTTATTCAACACTGTGGTACTGGGGTCATCACAGTGGTGCTTGGGGGTCTTCAGCCTGTTACCAATGATGTTTGGAGATCCATGTTGTGCTGGGAATAGAACACAGGTTTTTGTGTGATCTCCTTGGGCCCTATTTTTGATTTTTCCTTTAAATGGGCACCTCACTTTTTAATACCTATCATGATAGCCCACTTTTAACTTTGGATCTGGATTTTTTTTCATATGAATTCCACACAAGTCTTGCTATTATGATAAGAAACAGTCTAGGCTTGTTAATAATTATCTATAAAAATTAATATGAAAATTTGGTTAGGGCATTAAATTTCCTAGGTGGTATATAGTCTGCTGCCAACACAATACCCCCAAATAAATAAGAATTTTAAAAGTGAAGGGTGGTGACCTCACCTACGTCTCTTAGTAACTAACCGGACAGTCCACAATTGAGATGTCAAAGGTTGGATGTGCTCATTAAATAGATGAACGAATCTACCCTCCAACCACACAGCCTCCTAGCAAACACTTCCTTTGCAGCTACCCACTCTGGAAATGACCACGCTAGCTGCTCTCTGCCTGGAGGAAAGGGACTTAAAGGGGGTGCTGCCTGTGTCTCTCCCATCTCTACTGTAGATGCCCCTTCACCCAGGCACTCACTTCATCTGCAATGCACACTCCTCCCCGCTCTCGCACCAGCTGGAAGGCTTCCTTTAGAAACCCCTTTGGGTACTGAACAGCTCCATTCACCCCCTGCAAAAGAACAAACCAAGGAGACCTATGATATCAGCATGACCTTTGAGACTATGAAAGTATTAAAAATACTGAAGCATTAAAAATATAGACAGTATTATCATTAGCTATACATATATTTTTAAACAAGAACTGTTCCAACTCTTGGTAAACAGAGTTTCTCTATCCTCTTTGGCTATGCCTTCTGGAAAAGGGGTACAGCAAATGAAATGTTCTATTCTTCCCTCCCTCCCTCCTCCCTCCCTCCCTCCCTCCCTCCCTCCCTCCCTCCCTCCCTCCTTTTCTCTCTCCCTCCCTCCCTCCCTCCCTCCCTCCCTCCTTTTCTCCCTCCCTTCCTCCCTCCCTCCCTCCCTCCCTCCCTCCCTTCCTTCCTTCCTTCCTTCCTTCCTTCCTTTCTCTCCCTCCCTTCTTCACTCCTTCCCTCCCTCCTTCTCTCTCTCTTTCTTTCTTTCTTTCTTTCTTTCTTTCTTTCTTTCTTTCTCTCTCTCTCTCTTTCTTTCTTTCTCTCTCTCTCTCTCTCTCTCCCTCCCTCCCTCCCTCCTTGCCTTCCTTTCTTCCTTCCTTTCCTTCTTTATTTCTTGTTTTGTTTTTTTTTTTTTAGGTCATACCTGGCCATGCTCAGGTCTTGCCCCTGGCTTTGCATTCAGGGATAACTCCTTGAGGGTTCAGAGGACTATATGAGGTGCCAGGGATTAAGCCCTCATCAGCTGTGTATAAAACAAGCAGCCTATCTGCTGTACTATCTCCATTTTGGCTCTCTTCTGATATTTTGGAGGAAATTAAGAAAATTGGAAAGATTAAAGAAAAATTTCCCCTGACAACATAGGTGTAAGGCAACTAAATATTGCTGGGGTTTCCTTTTCTTTAGAATTTTCTGGAATTCACTAGTTTCATCTATATGTTCAGGCTGGAAGTTGGTGCTTTTTATTTTGAGATCATTTAAAAATCAAGTTTCTCAGGGCTGGATCGATAGTACAGTGGGTAGGGCATTTCCCTTGCAGGCAGCTGACCTGGGTTTGGTTCCCAGCATTTCATATGGTCCTCTGAGCACCGCCAGGAGTAATTTCTGAGTGCAAAGCCAGGAGTAACCCCTGAGCATAACTGGCTGTGACCCAAAAAAGCAAAAAAAAAAAACCATCAGGTTTCTCTTTTTCCAAGGGTACAAAAGAGAATGTGTTTTCAGAGACAATGGTCATCTAAACTATTTGAAATTCTCTAGGATGTATGAGTGAAAGATTACTAATGATTTAAAAGTCAATTAATGTCTAAAGTTAGTTTACCCACTTGAATTGGCTCAGCAAAAAATCCAGCAATGGTTTTCGCCACAGTTGTGCTCAGAGTTTCTTTGAACTGTTCTATGTATTGGTCTTTAGCTTGGCAGCAATCTGCAATAAACAAAGAAAACAGAATTTGGAGATGTGAGAATAGCATTTAGAAACATGGGGGGAATTGCAGAGAAAAAATCAATTTGAGTACCATAGAATTCAATAATCCAAGATCTGAGGACATGAGTTTCTGAAGTGGGAACATTTTCTAAGAAGGGCTTTTTTTTTGGGTCTGTGCAGCAAGATGAGAATTGCTATAGAACGTAAACAAACCACTTCAAGTTGTTTATGTCTGGAAGAAATGCCTTGAAGTATTGTTGAGTTAGTTTTTCCTAAGGATACCCAGTCCCTCAACTGAATAGATTTAATTTAAATGTCACTGGGTGTGGGTTTAGTCTACTTGAAAATAACTTTACTTGCCTTCTATTGACACTTAATCTATTAAGCAATTTTAAACCTATGCAGTCTTAAGAGTTATGTATGTAGAACAACTAGAACTCAGTCTAAAAAGAAATGAACTAGAAACATCACATTTGCTCATGGCAGTTCTCAAGATTTGGTCTTGTGTGTGTGGTCATTCTCCTGCTGAACCAGAGTCTTCCATGGGCAGGAACTTTGCCCCTCATACATTTATGGAGGGCTGGAGTGATTGCACAGGGGATAGGTTGTTTGACTTGCATGCGGCTGACCCAAGTTTTATTTCTCTGTCCCTCTCGGAGAGCCTAGTAAGCTACCGAGAGTATTCCACCTACACAGCAGAGCATGGCAAGCTCCCCATGGCATATTCAATATGCCAAACACAGTAACAACAAGACTCACAATGGAGATGTAACTGGGGCCCACTTGAGCAAATTGATGAACAATGGAAGGACAGTGCTACAGTGCTACATTTATGGAGTCTCTCTGGCCAGATGCACTGTAATAATGCAGGTCCTTAATGCGTGTTTAATAACTGAACAGGAATTACATGGTAGACATTGTGACTGGAGCTGAACATTGGATTTTTTTTTGTCAGTGTTTTATAAATCTAGAAAGGGAGTAAAGTATTCTTGCTCCAAAGATCTATATTTAATTTATGAATAGTCTTTCATTTGCCAATTTTTTTTTATTAATTGTGGGGTCACACCCAGGATTCTTGGTGTGCCCAGCATACCAGGGCTCAGACATGCAAGGATGTGCTCTACCCCAAACTACATCCCTGGTCCCTGATTCTCTTGAATGGAACTAACTTGTTGATCAACTTTCCTGCCAAAACTTAAATGTCGGTTGCGACTTTACTAGAGGGAACATTTTCTTTTCTAAATTCTCTGTCATTTTTCATTGTTTCTAACCCTCTGTATATATTTTTGAGTTTATATTTCTTTCTTTCTTTTTTTTTTCTCTTTGGTCACATCCAGCGATGCTCAGGGATTACTCCTGGTTCTGCACTCAGGAATTACTCCTGTCGGTGCTCGGGAGACCATATAGAATGCTGGGAATCAAACCTGGTTGTATGCGTGCAAGGCAAATGCCCTACCACTGTGCTATTGCTCCAGCCCCTATATTATATTTTATTTATTTTTTTTTATGTAGGAGTACTACTATTTATTCAGCCACTGATTATGCTGATTGAATTGAGCATGAACTCCACCCCTCTATTTCATTTTTAAAAAACATTTTGTGCACAGTTATTCCTGATAATTGCATTTTTTGAAATGCCGTGTGTCTGTTTCTTTCTGGAAAAAAAGTTTGTTTCCTTGTATGCAAATTATTTGTGATTCTAAGTTTTTAAATTTTTTTTTCTTGGGATTTCATTTTGGATAATTACTTGAAAATTTGAGGGTTTTTTTTGTAGTGGAGCACTGGACCACACCTGGTGGTGCTCAGGCCTTACTCCTGTCTCTGTGCTCAGGGATCACTCCTGGTGGTGCCCAGGAGATCAAACTCAGTGTCAGGATCCAAAGCCATGTCGCTTGCATGCAAGGAAATCACCTTACCCAATTTACTACTTCTCTGACTGTTGAGTGTATTTTGGAGGCCCCTTTAGAGGCTTAGAATAAGGCAGGTTTTCCTTAAGGACAATACTTGCCTTTGTGGTCTCCAGCACCATGGACATAGTTAATGCAGAGTTCCTGGTAGTTATGGGTTAGATGGAGTGAGAGTTCAGAATGCAGTGCTTCTCCATGACTAATCACTAGTTCAAATTCTCAATGGCAGATACTCTCTCTGATCCCAACTGGCACTCAATGCTCAAACCCTTAGTAGATTCTGTGACAATCTGTGGCTGGCGATACATTTGATTCTAGCTGACCTTTAGATGAGGGTATGGGTTCTTAGGTTTCCAGTTTTGTGGATGGGGAACCTGTCTATGAAGCTTTTCATTCTAACTAGATCCTGGATTTTGTTATCTGTTCCCTGTACTCCATAGAGTCAGGATAACAAAACTCTAGCTCACTAGCTTTGACAAAAAAGGGTCAGGATGGCTACAGTGCTTAAGGAACTCTTTGGGCTTCTGAAAATTCTTACTTTCTTGTATGGTTGCTTTGAAGAGGACATGCTTCAGACTTTATTTAGAATTTTTAGTGAATTTTAACTGGAAAGAACTTAAGCTCACATTACCCATAGAGATGTCCATGCTGTAAAACTATCTTAATAGTAATACTAGGTTGGCCTTCCTGTTTTGCTTAAAGTTTCAGGAAATGTTTCTGCAGAGATGATGGATGCTTCAGTATGATAAGCCTCAACATCACTGTCACTGTATCACTGTCATCCCATTGATCATTGAATTACTCAAGTGGGTGCCAGTAACATCTCTATTCCTCCCAGCCCTGAAATTTTAGCAGCCTCTTCTTACTCGTCTTTTCCCAACGATTGGAGGCTCTTTCAGGGTCAGGGGAATGAGACCTATTGTCACTGTATTTGGCATATCAAATACACCTTGGGGAGTTTGCCAGGCTCTGTCCATGTGGGCGGGATACTCTCAGTAGCTTGCTGGGCTTTCCAAGAGGCATAAATGGGTAGGAAATGTCATATAATGTGTTGGCCAAGAGGAGATCTGGAAAGCGGCCTGGAGTGTGGCGGTAGTTTGGCAGTGGGGACTGAGTCCCTTGGGGTGGGGAGGGCTCTCACCCACCCCACAGTCTGGCACGGAGTCTCAAGCCTCAACATGCAAACAAGAATTCCTGTGAGTTGGAGAACATAAGAAAAGAGGAGGAATATTTCCCAGAAGCCTTGTTTAAGCTTCAGAAGCTTCTATCTGTGTGTAATCTCTGCAAGTAGGAGGCCTAAGGATGCAGGAAAGAGACCAGAGAGGAAGCCTTTTCCATTGGAAAACCAGAAATTCCAGTGCATAGCTGAACTTTAAGGTTTTTAATTAACATCTGTAACTTGTTTCTAAACAATGCTCTCTTACCTCTGAGCTTAAACCTCTAAGGAATAAGAAGAATAAAGAGTGAAAAGTGGTTGTGATGGGAGACCTCAAAAACAGTTGAAGTATTCTTAGAAGCAAATCACCACATTCCCTCATCAATCCTTGCCTAGAGATCTGGCTCCTAAAGCCTAGAGATAAGAACAAAAATTTTCAATGCTTATCACCCTCATGGAAATGTATTTTATTTTTTGAAGCATATTTTATACTCCCTTCTTTTTGGGTCACACCTGGCTATGCTCAGGAGTTACTCCTGGCTCTGCACTCAGGGAATTACTCTTGGCGGTGTTCAGGGGACTATATGGGATTCCAGGGATTTAACCTGGGTTGGCTTCATGCAAGGCAAATGCCCAACCTGCAGTACTATCGCTCCAGCCCCCTTATACTTTATACTTCTGCCTGCATTAAACAGGAAAACATTAATTGACTCCAAATATATCTCTAGTCTATATCTGAACTTTGTCGAAGTTTGTTCAAGTTTACTGGACACCTGATATTCTTGGTTAGTAGGAGCTGGGAGTGGGGAGGTATGAGAAGGAAGGGATGAAAGTATTGAAAGTAGGTTTGTAATATCACTTAAGCCATTAGATGAGAAGGATATAGTAGACTCAGAGACCTGTGCTCCCAGCTACTACAAAATCTGATTTTTATTAAGAAGAGAGAACTGCCTAGCAAGATCCAAAAGGATGGATTAGACATATTCTTAAAAGCTCTTTACTTCCTTTCATATTACTTTGCGGGCTCATTGCTGTAGCTCAGGGTCAGGTTGCCTCTGGAGAGGAACTTGGTGAAGCTGTGTCACCATGACAACAGCCAGGGGGTGGAAAGCAGATCCTCTCCACACAATGGAATTGGGATAGAAGTGTTGTCATGGTAGCTGACTGCAGCAGAACAAGGAATCGAGAAAGAACAGTACTTCTCAAGTATCTTGCATGAGAATGACACAACAGGTAACAGGTGTAGGGACTCTGTGGCCATTTGTGGGAGTTGAGAGGGGTGGGTGTTGGGGGAAGCCAGTACCAGTCATGTGGGGGCAAGCCCCCACTTTGCCCTGGATCCAGCACCCCCTTGGGGGTCTTTCAGCACAGCCCCCAAAGGCGGTTGGGGGATGGGGGAGGTCTGGAAAGGGGTTGTGTGACCCCATCAGCTTCCCCTCAAACCAGTGCTAGATTCTGAACTGTGTATATTTTTTCAAAATCTTGGTAAAAGAGTGAAGAGACATTAAAAAGCACTGTAACCCTCCAACATCTCCCCATTCCCCCCAAAATTCACTATTGCTTCCCTCTGAACTTCAGGCCTGACAATGAACACTGGGAAAGAATTCCTGTGGGAGGTGGTGGAGAAAGATACAAAATTCACCACACAAGACATCAGACTCACAAAATGGATGTGCCTCTGCCAACGGGGTAAGTGATGATGGCATTTTGGGATAAAAACATTAGCCAAAATGAACATATGCTCATGTCCCTTGAACAAACACAAAAGAAACTGGGAATTGGCATCATCTCTACTCAAGTATTTTCTACCTTGGGAGACATTTATAAACATACACAAATACATCTTTTCACAACAAAGATCAAACACTTTTCAGATCCTTAAATGCTAGAGAGGTGCTCAAGTTCTTTTGGTAATGTGGTTTTGTTAATAGATATGGTATAAAGTCTTGGTTCTCAAAGAGATGAGTCAAGAAAACTGGTGATTTAAGTTATTCCAAAGACAAAGTGTAGAGGAAGAGAAATTTATGCCTGCCATTAGCATTTTGCCTCCAGACACCTCTCAAGAGATGAAAATTCCAGTGAGGCACTGGGATTTTCAAGCTGGTTTAAGACAGAGCTCTCAGAAGGATGTATGCCTCATCTTCCATGGTTTGCAGTCAGATCAAGGCCTAGAAGATGCATCATCCCCCATGCCCCCCGTGTTAGTTCTTGATGCCATACACAGAAAAACAGCTAAGTCTCTACTTAGCATTGCCATTATGTGCCTTTTACTATAAGGAGCTCCCTTCTCATCTCAGAAAGCCTGTTTGTTTTTCATTGTCCTCAGTCTTGGCCAAGAGAACAGGGAGTGTTTTGAAGTTGGGCTGGTCCAGATGGGGAATCAGTGTGAGCGAAGAGGTGGGAGGTTGGGAGCACTGCTTTGGAATGAAAAGACGGTCAGACCCTGACAACTCTTCTTAGATGTGGACTTCAGTTTTTCCTCATCAGGAAAGAGCCTGAACAGGGGAGAGCCTGAATGAAAGCTTTAAACTTCCTGATGGGCTTTCAAGCCTGTGACCATGACGTTTTGTTCCAGTGCTGAGGCTTTTATCTCCCAAACTCCATTTGTGCCATTATCCCATCTAAAATTTCAGATGAATACGAATTCTCTTCCTTTTAACACTGATTTTTATGACTTCCATTTGCATTCTTCTGCTCAACCCAGAGCCTCCTGCGATTCCATTAAAGATCTTTGGGCAAGAGCATTTATTCTTTCCTTCAGAACTACTTAAGAACAGATTTTCATAGGATCTTGAAACTTGATGAAAAAAATATGAGGTGGCATTCGCTGATGTGCAAAAACCACATCAATTGTCTATGCCTCCTCTCCCTCCTGTTAAGAATAGATAATAAATGCAAATAAAAATGTGGTTGATAAAGAGAAAACTGCCTGTTGGGAAATGCCTTTCAAACTTCTGCAAGATATGTCAGCAGTCTTCAGGAATGGTCTGTTTTGAAAGATGCTCTCATTTTGGCTGGCATTCTGAGTTTCCATGGGGAGAGTTTCTTGACTAGAATCTTGAGATTTCTCAAGAGTATTCTTTGCCTTTTCCCTCCCTTTCCTTGGGAATTGTAAAGAATCCCTTCAGTTATGTCTTCTTTACAAACTGAGAGCAGTGTTATTGCTAATAGAGCAGACAGCAACTTTAACTAATCGCCTGGTGAGTGTCTGGTTTTAGTTTTAGCTTAATAGTGCTTTTCCTTATAGCCAGATGAAGGCATCCAGACGACAGCATGAACTATGAGCTATGTTGATTCAATTTCTGGGTTGTTTCTACTTTTGTTTTCCTTTCCAAGTCCCGAACTTGTTGACTCAGGAATAGATCTTCCTTTCTGTAAGTTCCTTTCTTCCCCCCACTGCTGCCTCCCTGCCACCCAACCCTCCCTTCCTTGTACCTCCCTCTCTTCCCAGCTGGACCTGGTGTACAGCTGCATTTCCTTATGGTTTGCACAGGAGAATCTCGACAGTGGCTTCCTCCCCAGGGGCCACGGAAGACATCTGGGCACATTGTCTGCAAATGACAAAAGAGGAGTTTGGCAAAACTTGAACACAAGGTGACTAGTTGGGGGAACATATGGTTCCAATCAAAGAAGAGGGTTTCTTTCTTTCTGTGAAATTATAAAGTTATTATCATTGGGTTTGAATCATACATGTTTCAACACTGATCCCTTCAACAGTGCTCACTTCTCTCTACCAATGCCCCCCTCTGTGTACCCTCCCCCGCCCCATCCCATTTGCTTCCCACCCATCATTCTCTTCTATAAGAGGGACTTCATATTTTGATAGGGAGAGTCCTTCCTTAATATATACTTTGACTTGAAATGAAAACATAATATTCTGCCTTGAAGAAGTCATTTTTTCTTAGAAATCAGGTAGGCCCTCTACAAAGGAAATTGGTTTCAATGTTAGCCTAGAAACCATTTGCTCAAAGGTTTGGCAGATAAAGCAATTTGAAAGAGTAAGGATAATAAGGTGTCTAATTCTGGTACTGAAAAGGTGGGTACAGTAAGTGAAAACAGAAAGTAAGCAGGAGGATGACTATATAGCAATTTTGTGTATTCAGGGCTCTAAGAACTAATTTCAATGCATTCATTTTCCATTTACTTGGTTTTATTTAAAAGCAAAACAAATTAAAAAAAATCCCTGACATTAATTATTACTCAGACCACGAAGGCCATTCCAAGAAACATTTCCCTCAAATGGTCTTCAATTTGGTGAAATCAAATTGAATCACTAATTAAAGGTAGATTTTCTAATAATTTTTAATCTGTGTACTTGGAAAATTGGATTAATTATTCCACAATCCCAGCATCCTTAAGAGAAGTAAAACAGAAAGTCTCAATACTTACTGATTTACAGCCCAGCCCACTGGGGAGTTCTGTCTTGAAAGGGCCAACATTTGTTAAGCCAAGAGTGTAAGGGCTGCAGCCATGGTAAGCTCCTCTGCAGAGAAAAAACAGTAGAGGGAAGGGGTTTAGTTCATTTTTCTTTGATACTCTGGTTGACTGAGTTGAAAGAGAAAATTTGTGATGGCAATGGAAGTGTACATGAACACAAGGCCATTCAATGCTTCTAATTTCTAACAAATTGAAGCATAGGTTTGGCAAAGACCTTTTCTACTGGTGTCATAGAGCTGAAATTGTGAAAGGAACTTTGGAGAGCATCTGGCCAGAAACACTGACCTTAGTACCCCTGTCTTTGTTTATGTTAAGGAGTGACAGTCATCAGTTCTAACACATCACAAATGCCTTAGTTAATACCATTCTTCATTCTATGCACAAGAACTGAGTATTAATAGTATTAACCTTTCAGCATCTGTGTTGCAAACCGTAATGCCTAAAACATGAGAGAGAGAGAGAGAGAGAGAGAGAGCGAGAGAGAAGTGCTTAACATAGAAGCAGGTGGGGGTAAGGGGTGGGAAACTGGGAACACTGGTACTGCGAAAATACATTGGTGGAAGCATGGGTACTAGAACATTGTATGACTTTAAAATAAATGAAAATCAAACCCAATAATGAACAGCTTTGTATTGTTCTATCTCATGGTAATTCAGTAAAATAAAATATTAAAAAAATACCAGTCTTTATGCCTCTGGATAAACAAATGTTTCGTTCTTGTACGCAGTAGCAGTTCATTGCTGGGGACTTGTCTAAGTGCATTCTAAACCACTTTATTCTCATATAGCAAACATGGATTTTTTTTTGAAGTAGAGTATATCATTCAGAAGACAGGCATTTTTTTGTGGCTATCTCTCTCTTAGCGTTCCTCGCACAATCATGGAGGTGCTGAACCAGTCGATCGTATTCCTCATCAATGTTGTCAACAATGGCATCTTCCCATGTTGCTGCAATAGAGCCAAAGAGCTCCCAGGTGGTGGTCATTCTGGGAGTTCTCTTTTTAAACTTTGCAGCCCTTTCTCCCCGCTCTGTGAAGTAGAATTTTGCATGAAGGAGATGGTAGTCCGATCCTGTTTGGAATTTTGGGACAACAGCAACATCAGTCAGGCAAAACCGTCGATTGAATATGATGTGGTCTATTTCGTTGTGGAATCATCCACCGGGAGACTCCCATGTCCAATGTTTAGATTCAGACTTCTGGAACTGTGAGTTACCATGGATGGTCTTGGTCGACATGATGAACTCAGACAGTCTCTCACCCTGTTCGTTCCATTCTAGGCCATGGGTCCCGATGTGAAGTTCTTCAGCTGATCTTCTCGGTCCTATCTTGGCATTAAAATCACCCACAATGATCTTGTAGAAGATGTGGTCTTCTTTATAGAATTTCTCCAGCTCCATGTAGAACTTCTCAATTTCTCCTTTATCATAATTAGATGTTGGTGCGTAGACAATGAAGATAGAAACTGCTGGCAGTGAGCCACATCTATTCAAATGTAAACGTCCGATTCGGGTTGTTAGGCATTCGAATGAATCAGTGCTCATGGCCAAGTTTGTTGACAAGGACAATGACGCCTCCAACACCTCTTTTAAGTAATCATTGATGTCAAGAGAGGGGTTCGGCAGGGTGATACCATTTCACCAAAACTCTTCAGTGCCACCCTCGAGAACATCATGCAACGACTGGAATGGGAAGGAATGGGAGTAAAGATAGATGGTTGGCAACTACACCACCTCCGCTTTGCTGATGACATTGTTTTAATAACACCAAACATCAGCCAAGCGGCACAAATGCTGGCCGACTTCGACCATGAGTATGAAAAGGTCGGACTACAGCTGAATCTTATGAAGACAATGTTTATGAGAAACAGCTTCGTTCCTGATGCCCCATTTGCTCTCAATGGAACGACCATCTCTGAATGCAACAGCTATGTGTACCTAGGTCGAGGAGTCAACATGACAAATGACCTGGCACCCAAGCTGCGCAGGAGGAAGAGAGTGGCTTGGAACGCCTTCAAGAGCATCGAAGAAATAGCTAAGAGGACAAAGAACCTCCGGCTCCGGGCACATCTCTTTGATTCCGCTGGTCTTTTTTTTTTATTATTATAAAATTTTTTAATAGTGAGACATCATGAGGTACAGTTGCAGACTTACACATTTTTGTGCTTGGGTTTCAATTATACAATGATTAAACACCCATCCCTCCACTAGTGCCCATTTCCCACCACCACAGATCCCACTGTTCTTCCTGCATTAACATATGCCTCAGAGACCTGGGCCCTACGCAAACAGGATGAGAACGCTATTCGGGTCTCCCAAAGAGGAACTGAAAGAGCTATGCTTGGAATATCACGTTTCACTCAAATGAGAGAAAGAATCCGGAGTTCCAACATCCGTCTACGATCAAGAATCAGGGACGCTGTCTCGTTTGCCAAGGTGTCAAAAATCAAATGGTCACATAATGAGATTTAAAGACGACCGCTGGACTAGAGCTGTTACCGACTGGATTCCATGGGATGTCAAAAGACCTCATGGCCGCCCACCTACCAGATGGTCAGACTTCTTCATCAAGATCATGAACGATGGGTTTGAGGCTCTTCATGTTCCTAGAGCAAACAGACGCCATTGGGCTACACTAGCAAGCGACAGGGACAAATGGAGTCTTTACTGGCACCCGCTCGAGCAAATCGACGATTAACGGGAAGTCAAATGATCAAGTGATATTATTCTAATCACCAATGTTGGCTTCAGATAAGCCTTGACAATTTCCTAAATCAAAATCACTGTGGAATGAGGATTCAGGACTATTGAGACTGCAGAGAAGGTCGTTTATCTTGACAGGAGAGACACAAGCAAGTGTTGAGTTCCAGCAAACATCATGACATCTTTGAACAGATCAGTTCTCATCAGTTCTCATATATTCTGCAGTTTTCATTGAGGTAAAATGTCAATTGTGATTTTTTATTCTTATTCTAAGGAAATGCCATATTTCTTCCATAGTGTTTCCTCCTGTTTGGAATAACTCCCTGTGTGTTGAATATGGAATTTGCGAAGTGTTGTGCTGTGCTGCAGTCAATAAATCTAGTGGAAATTGAATCTTCTTTTTGTTTAAGATAAATTATAACCAGAGAAGTGGATAAAAAGAGAGAATTCTTTCATTCTATCTAGTTTTATTATAGCACTGCTGTCTTTTATATAAATTTATGAATCTGCTTAACTATGCCAATATAAAATTACCCGTGAGAACAACATCAAGAAAGATTCTTGTCTTTTTCTTTTTTAATTGAGTTACCATGAGAAACACAGATACAAAGCTATTAGTGTTAGGGTTTCAGTCATACAACGTTCTAACATCCTCTACCAGTGTACATTTCTCACCACCAATGACCCCAGTTTCCCTCCTCACAACTCCCACCCCTGCCTGCTTTTATGGCAGGCACTTATTTCTTTCTCTCTCTCTCTCTCTCTCTCTCTCTCTCTCTCTCTCTCTCTCTCTCTCTCTCCCTTCCCCCTTTTTGGGCATTATAGTTTGCCATACAGATACTGAGAGGTTATTATGTTTGTTTTGTTAATCTTGTTATCTTGTCTTGTTATCATGTTAGTCTTCTGTTGTCTTTAAGACTATTTATCAAAGGTTTACAATTAATCTTTTATTTATTTAACTACTAATTTATTTTGTGGGGACATACCTGGCAGTACACAGGGGATACTCCTGGCTCTGTGATCAGGAATTACTCTTGTGGGGCTTGGGAGAGCCATAAGGTATGACAAGAATAGAACCTGAGTCAGTTGTGTGCAAGGCAAATACTCTACCCAGTGTGCTATTGCTCCAACCCCTACAATGCATCTCTTAAATAATTGGTTTTCAGAAATTGCTCAAAGTGATAGTACAGCAGGGAGGGCATTTGCCTTGCACGCGGCCAACCCGGGTTGAATCCCTAGCATCCTATATGATCCCCTGAGCACCGCCAGGAGTAATTCCTGAATGTAGAGCCAGGAGTAACCCCTGAGCATTACCGGGTGTGACCCAAAAAGCCAAAAGAAAGTTTCTCAAAGAAGCAGAATCATACAATATTCAATATCTATCTTCTTAAAGAGAATAGAAGATAAGTGGTTCAGTTGGTGCCATGAACTAAGCAGATGTGTCCTAATCACAAGCAAAGACTAAAGGAGTTCATGTCATAGCATGAAATCAGCAGAGTAAGGGGTGGAGGAAAAAAAATAAAGTCAGCAGACTCTATGGGCATCGACCAGAACACATCATTTGGCTTGTATCTTAGTCAATACTGTTCTTCAAAGGTCCTAAGTTGTCGAGTGACCTCTTTAATCTCATTGAAGATTTCTGACATTCAAGGATTCCAAGCTGTTTGTTGCCATTAATTGAAACCCCCTTCTACGAATCAGAACATTGGGCTGGGAAACCCACTCACAGGGATTCCCTAAAAAACCTTTATAAAATACATATGGAGGACAGTGACAGTGACAGTGATATTCTTGTTTGGGCCACTCCTAGTGATACTCTTGACACTGTACTTAGGAATTACTCCTGGTGGTGCTCATGGGACCATGTGGGATGCCAAGGATTATTCTCAGGCCAGCCATGTGCTGCACTATCGCTCTGGTCCAAGGATTCCATGACATTCCTATGAATGATTCTGCTCTCAGGCCTACAATGAGAAAAATGTTCCAGGGAAAGGCCCATTCTCTCTCCAAGATGTATTCACAATTGATAAGAGTATTGGTGTAAACTAACATGACCAAAGGCGAATCATCTGAGGTGTGCTTACCTGAAGGAAATGATGTCTGTGTTATTTGTGTGTGCTCTGGCCATCAACATGGCCAGGTCATTGGCTTCCGAGCCACTGTTTATCAGGAAAATAACCTGAAGGGAAAAGAAAGATACATGACCTCAGTCTTCATTTTATTAATGTTCAATTAATGCCAGACTGGGGAACTCTGTGTGTTCTAAACTCTGGTTATTAAGGGAAGTGCCTTCAGACCAGCAGCCCCAACATTTAATGGGTTTGCTAATTTGCTAATTAAAACAAAACAAAACAAAACAAAACAACATTACAGCACCACACCTTCCACCAAAGTGTCTGCTTCCCTTCACCGCTGTGTCACTAAAACCAGTTTTGCAAGACTCATGAAAGGAGTTTCTTTAAAGGACAGAAGAAACTTCCTAACAAATGACATTAAGTATGATACTCACAGTGCTATTTTTGCCTTTTACTGGATTAAGGGACGTATATTGACTCTTAGCTTGTGAAGGAAATTTATACATATTAATAACTAATGCCTTATTTATCTTGAATATACTATATCTGATCAAGTAGTTAAATATCCATAGAGATTTTATTATAATATTTTACTTATTAATGCACACATTTAAATCGTATAATAATATTTTACAATATAAAGCCAATAGTTTCTTTCTTAGGATGAAACACTTTTATACTTTTATAGGACTATTCATATTTCCATTTTAAATATTCTCAATTCCCTTTGCTCTTTTTTTATCCTACTAAATTTTACATTTGCAGGATTTGCATATTAAATTTAAACTTAAAAAATGTATCAGCACAGAATTATTCATAATATTAATTAAAAACATTTTATACCACTAAAATAGGATCAGTTTTCTAAAAATAATTTTTAATCGACCTATCATTGATTTACAATTTTGTGGAATTTCAGAAGATTAACTCTATTCATTTCTATGTGTGTACGTGTCACCACCTCCAGCAAAAAAAAGAGAGAGTGAGACATCTTTCCCATATGTGGGAAACATGGGAAGGAAACAACAAATGGTCAAAATCATCAGAACTGAAGATTTTGTCTATAAATCTGAGCTTGCAAGTGAGAACAGGGGCTGAGAGGACAAACCCTGTGCAGGGTCTTTTTATTCTGGTCATCATTTCCTTTGTAGTCTTAGAAGAGCCTTAGTTTTATGAAGTCCTATTTGTTTATCTTTGCTTCTGTTTGCTTGGCCAGTGGTGTTTAATCATTGAAGATATCTCTGGATTTAATGTCATGAAGTATCATATCTACCTATGATATGTGCTTTACCTATGTTATGTTTAGTATGTTTTTCTCAATAGAATCTATGGAATGTTGTCTGATAAAGAGATCTTTAATCTATTTTGATATGACTATTGTGCATTAGAAAGGACTCTGAGTTCAGAATTTTTTTTTCTTTTTGGGTCACACCTGGCGACGCACAGGAGTTACTCCTGGCGGTGCTTAGGGGATCATATGGGATGCTGGGAACTGAACCCAGGTCAGGCGGTGCAAGGCAAACGCCCTACCTGCTGTGCTATCTCTCCAGCCCCTGAGTTCAGAATTTTTGCATGTGACTAACCAGTTTTCCCAGTACCTTTGTTGAAGAGGCTTTTCTTGCTCCATTTCACATTTTTTGTTCCTTTATCAAAGACTGACTGTATATATACCTGAGGAACTGTCTCTATTCTATTTCATTGGTTGGAGAGTCTATACTGACTCTAGTACTGCACTGTTATTACTGCTACAACCTTATAGTATAGTTTGAAGGTGGATAAAGAAAAGTCTTCTAATTTGACAATTCTTTATTGAGTCCTACATATACAGAAGGGCTGGCGCCATAGCACAGCGGGTAGGGTGTTTGCCTTGAACTCAGCCAACATGGCCGACCTGAGTTCGATTTCTCTGCCCCTCTCGGAGAGCCTGGCAAGCCACAAAGAGTATCTCGCCCGCATGGCAAAGCCTGGCAAGCTACCCGTGACGTATTCAATATGCCAAATACAGTAACAACAAGTCTCACGATGGAGACGTTACTGGGCCTGCTCGCGCAAATCGATGAACAATGGGAGGACCGTGACTGTGACATATACAGAAATAACTAAGAGACTGTACCAGTTGGGAACTATGCAAAACTCTTTTTATTTGATGCTGAACAAAATTTGGATGGGGAGAATTTCCAAGAGCACCTCAAGCTTAGTAATTTAGTGGATCTGGAGATTGTGCCCTGTGACTGCAGAACCTAACTCATCTTATCTGATTCTGACAGGAAGGTCACAGCGGACCCTGCTGTCTTAGAAAATGCCAGCTTGATTGTTAAGTGTATGTTGAAATAGCAAGCCAACAAATGGAGACATGAAAGGTAGATTATTCTGGTTAAAAAGGAAAAAAAACAAAGGGATTGGCTGCTCGAGTACTCAGCATTCTCCCAGGGAGACATATGCTTGAACTTTAATCAGAGTACAATTAGATCATGTAATACTCCTAAGATAAATATTTATATGTAGGGAAAGGGGACATAGCTCAAAGGACTGGAGCATGCTTGAGTCTCCAGCTTTGATCACTAACATTGCATGGTCCTCACGTACCGTGGAGAATAGCCTTTAGTGGTCTCCAGCACCACATACATCATGGTCCCTAATATTTAACCTTCCAGTCTGATTGGCTGAGTATCAGAAGGGGTGATCCCAGATCCCCTAAATATACTTGGAGGTTACCCTGAAAATATTTATAGAAATATATTATTATAAGTAACATCTTTTATTCATGCCTTTGTAGCATGTGAAATGCTTCTGACTTCCTTGTCTCCATCTTTGCATGAACATGCCTGGTCTGAGCTTATGTTGCAACTTTTCCAGTTTCCTTTCTCTTTTCTCATAGTGCATGAATAGTGTATCTATATAATATAGGCAAGTCATACGCATAATTCAAACTAGACATTTGGGCACTGTTTTAATTACTACATATATATTTAAAAGTTTTCTTTAAAACACTACATGCAAACTTTGACCTACATTTTTTTTTCCCCCTTTATTTTATTTTATTTTTTTTAAAGTTGTAGATTTACAATTTTTTGTGCTTTGGTTTCAATTATACAATGATCAGATACCCATACCTCCACCAGTGCCCATTTTCCACCACCATGGATAATATCCCTCCCACCCCCATCCCCCCATCCCCCCGTCTCTGTGGCAGGGCAATCCCCTGTGTTCTCTCTCTCCTTTTGGGTGTTGTGGGAACTTTGACCTACATTTTACCCTCTCTTTTCAGTTTAATTTTTTTTCTTTTTGGGTCACACCCGGTGATGCACAGAGGTCATTCCTGGCTCTGCATTCAGGAATTATCCCTGGTGGTACTCAGGGGACCATATGGGATGCTGGGAATCGAACCCGGGTTGGCTGTGTGCAAGGCAAACGCCCTACCTGCTGTGCTATCACTCCAGCCCCTCTATTCAGTTTACTAGGTCAAATGTTTCATGCAGAAAACCATCTCATTTAGGAAAACTAAGTGCATTTTAGAATAAAGTAAATGGCTTATTAATTTTATAAAAACATGGCTATACTCTTGGTACAAAAGAAGTGGAAGTGATTTTGCAGAGGGCTTAGAAAGCATAGAGATAAAAGTCTCTTGAGAAATGCAGAGGGGAATGTCAGGAGAGTTGGAACTGATTAAATAGGTCATACAAAAGAACTTGGTGGTGAAGGATATAGCTATGGAAGCTTGGAGATAATGAAATAAACATGGGTTTGTTTCACAGGCAATCCCGAGTTTGCTGACCTCTAGGGAAGATGCCTTTTCCTGGGTCGCTTTCATATACAGATTACTATTTCTGATGCTCCATGCACAGACCAAATTCCCTGCTCATTTTCTAGTTTCTTCAGTTGCCCTCCTGGGATCAGGAAAGGCCTGTCTCTTTGGATCAGGAACACCTTACCTTTAGGGGCTCAGGAAGAAGTGCTGCAAGCTTCTCTGCATATTCATGGATGGGAGCATTGAAGAAGACAGCACTTGTGTGCCACAGGCGGCCAAGCTGCTGTTGGGCCGCTAAGTTTACTTTCCTGGATAAACAAACAGTAGAGCAGAATTACCCGCACCATACGTGCAGGTGATGTCCCTCCCCACGCACTGGCCAACGGGCTAGATTCCAAAGGCCATTGTATCCATTCCGGAGAAAACTTCTCTAGCCACCAGAGGTGTTCTGTAATGGGAGGTGTTGTTGCCAAAGACAACACATTTCTCCCATGAGAAGTATTCAAAGGGACATTAAATGATTGCTAAAAATCTTATAAAATGAATTATAGAAAGGAATTTGGTCTTAGAATCAAATGATAGGGGTAAGCCTGGAAGTTTTTTTTTTTTATTCTTCTGAAGAACCAGAGATAAATGAGGTACATGGATGAAAATCAACTATTTTTTCAAAGGTAATCCAAATATGTTGGCCTTAGAACTTTAGGAGAAGTCACTGATTATATATACACACATATATGTACGTATACGTATATATATATATGCATACATACATATATTTGCATCTAAATCCTATTGACAGCAGTCTCCTAGCCTTCTATTGTCACACTGGAGGTCACAATGTCCTTCTAAATGGCCTCATCATCACAAGGCTTTCCCCTCCATTTTTAAAAAAAATTTTATCGAATTACCGTGAGAAAGTTACAAGCTTTCATGTTTGGGTTACAATCACACAATGATCAAACACCCATCCTTTCACAAGTGTACACTCCCCACCACCAATATCCACAGTATACCCCCCTTCCCGACCCCCCCCTGCCTTCATGGCAGACAATATTCCTCATACTCTCTCTATGGGCATTATGGTTTTCAATACAAGCACTGAGAGGTCATCATGTTTGGTTCATTATCTACTTTTGGCACACATCTTCCATCCCTACTGATTCCTCCACCCATTATTTTCTTAGTGATCTCTTCTCTGTTTCATCTACCTTCTTCCCTCCACTCTTGAGGTAGGCTTCCAGCTATGGAGCAATCCTCCTTGTATCTACTGTCCTTGGGTGTCAGCCTCATGTTATGTTATTCTATACTCCACAAATGAGTGCAGTCTTTCTATGTCTGCCCCTCTCTTTCTGACTCATTTCTGTTAGCATGATACTCTCCATGTCTATCCACTTATAAGCAAATTTCAAGACTTCATCTCTCCTAATAGCTGTATTGTATTCCATTGTGTATATATATCAAAGTTTCTTTAACCAGTCATCTGTTCTAGGGCATTGGGTTGTTTCTAGATTTTGGCTATTGTGAACAGTGCTGCAATGAACATATAGGAACAGATTTCATTTCTACTGTGCTTTTTTTGCATCCTCGGGATATATTCCCAGAAGTGGTATTGTGGGGTCACATGGTGGCTCAATTTCTAGTTTTTGAAGGACTGTCCATATTGTTTTACAGAAAGTCTGGAAATTCCCACCTACAGTTAAAGAGTGTCTCTTTTTCCCCACATCCATTCCAGTATTGGTTGCTTTTGTTTTTTTGAATGTGTGCCAGTCTCTGTGGTATGAGATGATATCTCATTGTTGTTTTGATTTGCATCTCCCTGATGGGTAGCAATGTGGTTCCCTCCATTCTGACCATCATATAGGTCCTTGATTTGTGTTTCTGAACAGAGTTTCTGTTTCATATTCCCACCATTAAGTAAGCGACTGGTATATCATGCTATTCTACAATGTATTCTGTTAAAACATTGATCATAGGAGAGCTTCATTCAAACAGCCTCCCAAGAGGAAACAAATTTGGGGAACCTTTTAAATTACCCTCATGGGGAGAAGTTGTCCATTCTATGTTTAGATACTAAGAAAACTTGTAGTAAAAAAGTCTGTTGGATTTGGTATTTCTCAAAATGGCTTCACTATTTTTTGTAATAGATATTAGTAACAAACAGAATATGTGAATAGAAACAGAATTGCAGGGAGTTCTTATGGTAGGTAAGTAAGGTATGAAGATTAATGAAAAAGAGTCAGGGAAGAAGCAGAGAGGGGAGAGGAGGTGGAGTCTATTCTACAGGAATAATAACAAAGGATGAAGGAGTATAGGGAGAAGGCAGAGCACTGGGGGAAGAGTCCAGTTATTTCGGATTTAGGGGACCATGGGGAGATGGGGAAGGAGATGAAGTTTAAGAAAAAGATCCAAAGAACTATGTGCTGAGAACAGGTAAAAAACAACATGATAACCTCTCAGTACCAGTATTATTACAAACCATATGCCCCAATGGGGAGGGAAAGGGGAGAGAGGGTTGGAGAGAAAGAGAGGCAGAGAGAGAGAGAGGGGGAGAGAGGGAGAGAGATAAGGAGAGAGTGAGAGAGAGAAAGAAAGAGAGAAAGAGGGAGAGAGAGACAGAGGAAAAGTACCTACCATAGAGATAGATACAGGCAGTAGGGAAGGTGGCAGGAGAGAAACTGGGGACACTGGTGGTGGGAAGTGTACACTGGTGGAGGGATGGGTATTGGAACATTGTATGACTGAAACCTGATCATGATTAGCTTTGTAACTCTGAATCTCATGGTGATTCAATAAAAAAAGAAAAGACCCAAACAAATAACCTAGATATATATACCTTAAGATACCAGAAAGATAGCAGCAAAAGGAAGCCAAAGTACACAGAAGGAGAGAATGAATAAGTCTTAGAGCACAAAACAAAATATAAAAACTACCAATCAATAAAACAAATCAGTGAAAACCAGGGGAAAAAAGATCCAGAGACATGCAAGGCTCTGAAAGCCAGTGAGAGGATTCTAGTATCAGGGACAATACTGACTATTATTGAGAGTGTTCAAGGGACTGTTGACACTTTTTCTCTAGTTCATTTTTTTCTCTTCTTTCTTGTGTGTTTATCCTTTCTTTTGTGTTTGAATCACATTTGGAATGCATTTCTCAGGCATGTCACGACCTTTCACGAGCTAGCGCTTTTCAAAACAGGAAAGGAAAGAAGAAGTGATGAAATGAAAGGGAAGGGTAGGACTTTAGTAGACAACTCACAGATCAGCTGACAGATGTCCTGATGTCTGCATGAGGCAAAGACCCTTTGCATGACTCTAACAGAAGGGACCAAACCAATTTAGCTTACATAGACTTGTTCCCTTACTTTTATCCACTTAATATGACTTTCACGGTTGGATTCTTTTCTTTGGGGTTCTCTCCTGGCTGTGTGTTCAGGGATCATGCTCAGCAGTGCTTAGGGAACCATATCTGGTACCAGGGATTGGAAGGGGTCGGCCACATGCCAGGTCAGCCTTATCTGTCTGGCCCCAATGTTAGGTTCTTAAAGGCAAACACAAAGAGATATTAAAGTGAAATGACTGCAAAAGGACCAAAAGGACCACAGAGGTAGCTGCTGGGGATATCTGTGTGTAGATTAATGCTCAAGGCTGTAGGAAACTTCCAGGACAACTGAGCCACACACTTCCAACATACATTTCAAGGCATGATTTCGCTGTTCCCCTTCCTTTCCTCATTCAGGGCTCAAAATTGATGAGGAAAGTCCTTCTTCTAGAATTTCTTGTCCTTCATGCCCTGTGTTTTCTGAGAGCCATGTGCCTCGGTGCATCCCCTCCCTTTGGAATGTTGCTACTGGTGAGGAGAAAACACACAATAATGTTCCAGACACGTGGCATGCTGCATGTGCAACAAGAATGACTAAGTATTTCATCGTCCAGAAAAAAACAATGTAATTTCTCTGAGTCTGGAAATAGCTATGAATCTGTTGGCCAAAAATTTGAATATACCTAAGGAAAAAAGAGTTTTTAACTAGGATTCTGAATCATAAACATGATTCTTAGCCTTATTTTCTGAAGTGAAGCCCATCACCCTCAGCCCGCAAATTAGGATACTCACGGGTGACAGTGACCAACACTGACAGTGACGATTCCTGAGAAGAAATCCAGATATCGGTTTCCCTCATGATCAAACAGCCACTTCATGTGGCCCTGGTGGAGCAACAGGGGCTTCGGGAAGTATGTGGTGTGCACTGGGGTGAGGTGATGCTCGTGGATGTCCAGGACATGGTTATAGCCAAGAGACTGTGGACAGGCAAGAGTGAAGAACTTAACATCCTCCTTCTTCTGAGCTCCATGGAATTTACCAGATCCCCAGCAGGGCAAAATCTTGGTGCCTCCCTTCTCTCCTCAGGAGCACACAGAGACTCACAAGGGAGTGAGCTTGCTTCATGCTCCCCTGGTGGGACACCAAAGACATGGCATCAGGTATGTGCTCCTTCAGTTGCTTTCTAGACTAGGTTGAAAGACTTTGGATGAAACTGTTCTGCCACTCAGTGGAACACTTGGGTTTCAGTTGATCTTCACTATGAATAAAGGGCGTTGGGGGCTGAAGAGATATCACAATGGATAAGGTGCTTGCCTTGCATGCGGCCAACCCCAATATGATCCCTGGCACCCCATATGGTTCCCTGCCCTGATTTCCGCTGGGTGTGAACCAAAGACAAAAAATAATATGAAACAAAAGGACTTTGAAATTAAATGTCGCAAGAAATAAGACCCATCCCTGCCTCTGTTTTGGCTGAAGCTTCTTGGAAAATTACAGATAAAAAAATTCTGGCATGTGTTCATGTTTTGATCAAACCTCCCTCCCATTATTCTTTTCCTTGTGCCTCCACCCCCTGACCATACATTGATTCTACAGTTTCTTACCTATGAGTATCATACAAAATAAAGTGGTTGGGAAGAGGGGGAGGCAAGGAGAAGGGCAAAGAGAGGAGAGATGTGACAATTTATATTAGTCTGAAAGTAAATAATGTTCACATTACTTTTGAAGAGATTGAGGAAGGTCAGATTATTCAAAACTATGTGAAATAGCTGAAACAACAACATGTTGTTTGTTTCTGGGTCACACCTGGCCAAGTGCAGGGCTTCTCCAAACTCTCGGGCTCTTGGTGGTGGTTGGGGGACCATTTGGTACTGGGAAACCGAACCTGGACCTTCTGCATGCTTTGCGCCATCTCCTCAGCCCCTCACAAGAACATTTTTAAAAACCAATATGTGCCAACATATTTGTGATTACATAGATACACATGAAGGTATTTACAACAGAGGTGTGTATTGTAAATCTCTATTGTTACTTCTCTGTCTTGTACTGCTTGTCTCTTGGTTGCTCATACCTACACCCCAGTTCATTCAATATAGTATTAAAAGACTAAAAAGATCCAGATGTTTCCAAGAACCCAGAGGAAAGACCAGCAACAACTTAGGGACAAGCATGGACAGGAGTACATTATCTCTTGAGAAAACCAATTTAGCCTTGCCATGAAGAATCACCTCTTTTGAGTTTTCCTAAAACTATGACACTTACCTGGTATCTTTCAGGTTTGAAGTCACAGGGCGGCATTCTGGGTTTTGTGTGAAGACTGAGCTTGGTAGCAGATAACCAGAAAGCACCTACTAGCAGAGAAGTGAGTTGAGATTCACTAGGAATTCAGGATACATTTTTTTTACTTTTTTTTAGTGACAAACCAAGGGGTACAGTTGTAGACTTACAAATTTTTGTGCTTGCGTTTCAATTATACAATGATTAAGTACCCATCCCTCCACCAGTGCTCATTTTCTACCACCACGGATCCCAGTATTCCTCCCAACCCCCATACCCCCATCCCACTCTGCCTCTGTGGCAGGGCATTCCCTTTTGTTCTCTCTCTCCTTTTGGGTGTTGCGGTTTGCAAAAGAGGCATTGAGTGGCAATCATGTTTGGTCTATAGTCTACTTTCAACATGCTTCTCCCATCCTGTTAGGATTCTCCCAACCCCCTTTATTTGGTGCTCCCTTCTCTATCTGAGCTGCCTTTTCCCCTAGCATGTGTGGCTGGCCTCCAAGCCATGGAGTGAACCTCCTGGTACTTATCTTGGCTATTCTTGGGTGTTAGTCTCTTATTTTGTTACTTTATGTTCCTCAGATGAAAATTCAGGATATTAAAAAAAAAGATAAAATTCTCCATGAATCAGCACCTGGGTTTATTTGTAATAATCACCAGCACTTACTTGAACCATGCAATTTTGTTTATGTTTAAAAATGAAATCATTTAAATGAGGCTTTAATTTGGATTTTAAATGGAAGCATCTCAATAATGAATTTTTAGGAGCTGAAAAGAAAGAGTTTCTCTCCAGTCCAGTAGAGGAAGGCACAGGGTCTGTTGGCAGAAGTCAGGATCTCTTTCCCCTAGGTCCCCTGCAAGCTTGGGGATATTCCCTCTCCTGTGTTGGCTACACTTCTTTTTTTTTCCTTTTCCTTTTATTTATTTATTCTTTAAATTTTGCACAGCGGGTAGGGCGGTCGCCTTACAAGCGGCCAACATGGCCGACCCAAGTTCGATTCCTCCGCCCCTCTCGGAGAGCCCGGCAAGCTACCGAGAGTATTCGATATGCCAGACACAGTAACAACAAAGTCTCCAATGGAGACCTTACTGGGCCCGCTCGAGCAAATCGATGATCAACGGGAGGACCTTTACCTTTTTACCTTTTTTTAGTGAGACACCATGAGGTATGGCCGAGATTAGTACCAGGAATTTTGTTCCATGGCTTGGAGGCCAGCCACACATGCTAGGGGAAAAGGCAGCTCAGATAGAGAAGGGAGCACCAAATAAAGGGGGTTGGGAGGATTCTCCCAGGATGGGAGAAGCATGCTGAAAGTAGACTATAGACCAAACATGATTGCCACTCAATGCCTCTTTTGCAAACCACAACACCCAAAAAGAGAGAGAAAACAAAGGGGAATGCCCTGCCACAGAGGCAAGGTGGGATTGGGGGGGGGGGGATGGCGGATGGGAGGGTTACCTGGCTACAATTCTTTTGTCAGTGAATCAAACTTTTGCCATTGCAGTCAATACTGGAAATAATCTTTTTGGTGAATAGAAGTATTTTTTAGGTACTGAGATCCTGACCCTGACTCCCAGTTCCTGGGTTAGTCCCAGAGTTGTGCTGAGATCTCCATAAACAAAGAATGAAAGACTTTGACCTTTTCTTGCAGGGTCAAGAGGAGACTGGTGCCAGACAATGTACTCTAGTAACAAGATTCACTAATAGGCAAAACCTCCTGCCCAAACATGACAACACAAAGACTATCACAACCCAAGACCAAGACACAGTAAAGAGAACTGAGCCAGAGGGATGGTTAAATATTTGGAGCTAGGAGGGGGCTTTAGGTGTTTGGTTGTTGTCTTGTTAAAATATTCATTTGAAAAATGAGGAAAGCACTCTGAAGTGGCAAATACATTTAAGATCACCGAGCTAGTCATCTACAGAAAAAAAACCCCCAAAACTCCAAGTTTCTGGATTCCCTGACTTTTGCTCTTTGCTCATTCCCTGACTGCCTCCCAGTTCCCACCATACAGATTTTTTTTTTTTGTTAGTGAAACACCATGAGGTACAGTTGTAGACTTACAAATTTTTGTGCTTGGGTTTCAGTTATACGATGATCAAGTACCCATCCCTCCACCAGTGCCCATTCTCCACCAACACTAATCCCAGTTTCCCTCCCACCCCCCATCCCCCATCCCACCCTGTCTCTGTGGCAGGGCATTCCCTTTTGTTCTCTCTCTTCTTTTGGGTGCTGTGGTTTGCAAAAGAGGAATTGAGTAGTAATCATGCTGGTCTTCTTCCCCACCCAGCTCAGTTTATCTGCCAGTATTCAAACCTGGGACTTGGCTTTCTCCTCTCGGACCCTGGGACAAAAGCAGCCCTGAACCTCTGCCTCTTCCTCTTTTTCCCCAATGCCCACCATACAGATTTTTTTAGATATTATAACTTTTTACTGTTCTTCATAAAGTTTTACTAAATTATTGATTTTTAAAAAAAATTTTTATCAGTGAGACACTATGAGGCACCATACAGATTTTGACGTTTGTAGTTGCATTGAACAATGAATCTAGAGTTAGAAGAAATATCTGTAGAACTTTTAAGTACCCGTGGAAAAGAATACTGGCAATGATGAAGATTAAAGGTCAACATTGAGGTAATTTTACAGGAGGAGGAAATGATGTTTTTTATTCAGCATGAAGACTTGAATCCATGGATGAAATGTTGGTGTTTTGTATGGCTATGAAGTCATAGTCCCGAGAAATGCAATGGTATTTTGAAATAAAGCCGGAAAGTACCTGCTCTGAATAGGTTCTCTTTCAGAGATTGCGTTCACTTTTTTCTTTGCTCTTCATAAGCACTAATGGCATTAATTTGCTCTTGATTTAAAAGCAAGTGGCTTTGGGGGGTTCATGTTAAAAATGACCAAAAAAAGTGATAGCATAAGTTTTCTGAGAATTGAAATTCTCAGAAATTTTTAAAAAGCTTTCTATTGTGTCCTTACCTGAGTTACTCTTAGATGGAAAAAAATTCTGAGTTATTTCTAGGAATTTGATCTCCCTTCACTTCCTTCTTCGCTTTCATTTTCCTAGCTGAAAAACTGGAATTGCCCTTTGAGATGGCTATAAGCCTTCTTGACTTAAAGGTTATGAAAATCAGGAAAGCAGGTTTAAAGAGGAAGAGAGTTGGAGAGAAAGATTTGATCAAGAAAGACTGCGTTCTAAACAATCAGGGAGGTTTTGTTCATTTATTAACTATACTGGTTGGAATTAGGAATTTACTAAAATATAAAACAAATCATATCCTTAGGAATAAATGGATAAAAGATAGAAATAAGGAATAAAAACACATAGCATACAAGTTGGGAAAAATTAGTCAGCATATCAACAGAATTTTTGGGGTGCACACCTGGCAATACTGAGGACTTACTCTTGGTTTTGCACTCAATGATCACTCCTGGTGTTGCTCAAGGGGTCATATGGGGTGAAAGGGATTGAACTGGTGTTGGTCACCTGAAAGGCAAGTGACCTACTTGCTGTACCATATCTCCAGCCCTCACGAACTAAACCTTGACAATGCCTCACAAGTCTATTTACACCTCTCTCTCACAATATGACTTCAAATAAAAAATAATAGTAACAGAAACAATTTATAGAAGAAAGAAAAATTCTTTAATTTTCATTATTTTTCAGAGAAAAGTCAGAATATCACGATTATCTCCTGCATTATTTATGCGAAAACATTTAAGTTTAAATGGTGTCTTAAGAGCTGAGGGTTATTAAAACTTCTTTTGGAGTTTTGGAAATCCTATGTGTGCATGTACTCATATACCTATCATACATGAGAGCTGTGTATAATGTATAATGGAAGAGAATGACAAGAGGGATGTTAGATGGTGAAGCTGAGGTCCAGTGAATCAAACTGAATCCAAGATCTTTTTCTGTATGGCCAAATTTTGGGGTTTGTTTTTTCTGATCATTTAACAGGTCTGATGTTGCCTTTTATTTTATTGTTTTATTTTTAATTTTTAATTTTTTTTTATTTTTGGGTCACACCCGGCAATGCACAGGGGTTTACTCCTGGCTCATACACTCAGGAATTACTCCTGGCGGTGCTTGGGGGACCATATGGGATACTGGGAATCGAACCTGGGTTGGCTGCATGCAAGGCAAACGCCCTACCCGCTGTAGTATCGCTCCAGCCCCTGATGTTGCCTTTAAAATTACAATACTGAAGACAAATGCCAGGTAATGATTTTCATCCAACTTACCAATTTCCATCTCAGGTCCCCTAGAAAATTCAAGATGGTAAAACTGCCATTCAATTTGGATCACATCAACACTCCTATTATATAATAATAATGGCCAGGTGGGTGATGTTTTTAACTTTCTAGCTATCTCATTCTTACAAAGTTAGTTTAAGTATGTTTTCTATCCCTCTGAAATAACAGTATCAAAAAACAAAAACTGTTGAACAAGGTGGTTGAGAAAAATACAATTTCTGTGGGCACTTGACAATGTGGCCTCCTACAAATTCTCTTTGTAAAGATTTTGTTGAAATAGCCACAGACAGCTTTAAGTATTTTGAACAGATAAATACAAGCTAAGGTACTTATCAAGTGCTTTGTTACTCTTCAATTTAAAAATGTTATAAAAATTTGAAAAGACTCAATAGACATGGGTAATAGAACTTATTTTTTGTTTGGATTTTGGGGCATACCTGGCAGTGCCCAAGGTATACTCTTTGTTCTGTACTAAGGGGTCATTTTCTGTTGAGGTTTAGGAGACTATACGCAATACAAGGATCAAACTTGGGTCAGCTACATGCGATGCCAGCAACTTACCTGCTGCACTTTGACCCAAGAAGTAATTAAAATGATACTTATGCCTTGCTCGAGCGAGCGGGCCCAGTAACGTCTCCATTGGAGACTTTGTTGTTACTGTGTCTGGCATATCGAATACTCTCGGTAGCTTGCCGGGCTCTCCGAGAGGGGCGGAGGAATCGAACTCGGGTCGGCCATGTTGGCCGCTTGTAAGGCGAACGCCCTACCCGCTGTGCTATCGCTCCAGCCTTAACAGCATTTAATAGCAGAAC